TGAAACCAACAGAAAAGGCATTGCACACATCTGTAAAGTTCTGCTTTTGTTTTAACAGTCAAATTCCCAAACCACACACACATACCATATCTTATTACACTCTCAATCACAGCATGATAAAACACCATCTGGCTTGGATTACTGTGGTCCTGTTTTTATTGATGAGAGATGTACAGTATGAGAATGTGTGAGAAGTACATTCATCTATGTATTCCTCGTACAGGCCTCTGCCGCCCGGCACCAACCTCCATCTGGAGATAATAAAGACTTATCTGGTCACAAGAAGAATTTCTGATGAACCTGTGATTTAGGGTTCAGTCAAATATTCTCTTTGTTCCTGACTTTATTTGTAGAGTGTGAGGGTTGTGTTTCTCTGTTTCTCCCCCCTCCATCTTTGTTTCTCTGCAGAGCTTGTGGTGATGGGGGTGTGGCTGGATGGTGCAGCAGACACACCTGCAGCCAATTTCCACCTGGTCAGTTTGGACTGCTCTTTGTTGCCAGATAATTCAGTCACATATGGTAGTGTCCTTATTGTTTCGTATACGTTTTACTTATACAGTTTTTCCCCAGATCCGTGGTTGCTGCACCTCCACGTCTCCAGGCAGCCTCTGTCACCTCTGCCCTGTCTGCAGTTTGTTATTCTACTTTTTGTTTTGGACTGTAAATACATTTTTGTTCTTCTTCAGCCTGTTCTCAACTCTGCTTTGGGGTCCACATTTGAAGAAACATACAGTAGAGCACCTTTCCTACACCAACACAAGAATCGCCATTAAGAACACAATTAAGATCACACAGGTAAATAAAAACATTAAGATCACACAAAAGATTAAAATAATAAACAACCTCAGTGCATTAAGAATAGAGATAAAATCCTTCAGTTGTACACCTCGATTTTTTTGGAGTTTATTCTCCACATTAGCGTTATCATTAGTCCCACTGAAATGCTCCTGCATATCAATCAATCAATCAATGTTTATTTGTAGAGCGCCTCACAACAACATCATATCCAGCAAATCATAAACATTATAATCTACACATACATAAAAAACACAAGAAATATTAAAAACAGAATAAAATCAAAAGTAATTAAAAACCTTAAAAGCATATATCATAACCCTAACCCTATTTTTCTAGTTTAGTTTCAGGCATCGTCCTTCTCCTTCTCTTCAGATCATAATATTCCGTGGTGACTTCCTTCAGTGGAATATCTCAAGCAGCAGCAGAGCCTCCAACACAGACATTTACCTTGTACGCACACATGACCTGACACTTACATGTACATACACACACATATATATATTTATTTGCAGGAGTTGAGTGGGTGCAGAGTGGTCTGTGGATCACCTCATCCTGAACCCACACAGTCTGTCATCTGCTCCTAAGACTAATGGGCCCACATCCTGCGGCCTCCTGCTGACAGAGCGTCCAGAACACGGCCTGCGGACTAAACAATCGGCCCGTTTGACCCCCGGTCCTCACCCCTGACACCGGCTCATCTTTCCCCCCCCCCCCCCCCCCCCCCTCTCCTCCATGTGTCTCCGGTGAGTTACGCAACGGGGCGATGGTCGGGAGGGTCTACTGTAAATCATGTCAGGGCAATTGGGGGTTCACGTGCGAGGAGAAAGACGGTGGTTTGAGGTGATACTGTGGCAACAGCAGGTTTCTTCTACTGTGACAGGAAGAAATGCTTTATATAGGGTAAAAAACGGTATAACAATAGTAGTTTTTATCATTATTATAGTCATGGGTCTTGCAAAAACACAGTCCAGTATATAGGAAACATGGCTAAAGGAACATTTCTAAAGATGTTATATTTTTCACTCTATATCAGCCATTCCCAAACTCAGTAACACCGAGGCCCCCTTAAAAATCTGACGGGTTTGCGTGGCCCCCCAAAATAATAACCAAGAAGACAACATTAAGAATAGGCTCTTCTGGTTATTTTATTTTGGGGAAATAGCCTCTGCTACAAACATTGTAATAAAAAAATTATTACAGTGGATTATTCAAGTCAAATAATGTACACAAATATTTTAATATTACAAACAAAACATTATAAATTTAACATTAAATAATTATATATTATATTTTTTTATTTTTTTTTATGACCTCCCGCGGCCCCCCTGCAGTACCCTCGCGGCCCACCAGGGGGCCGCGGATCCCACTTTGGGAGACACTGCCCTATATAATCCAGGTTGTAGTTGGATTACTGCAACTGTGAAAAGCTAAAATCCAATCAAATAAATAAATAAATAAGATAAAACTGTTTTTTGATGCACCTGATTTAGAGGCCGTGTTTAATGTCTAGATGAAAAAGAGTAGAATGGGGGTGTACATATATTTTATTACTGTACTGTGATTATTAATGATTTTCTTGTAGTTCTTTTATGATTGTATATGATCTGTGCTATACTAATAAACATGCCTTGTTTTGCATGGCCTTCACAAATAAATATGTTATAGGGAGTACAGTCCCTCAAAGCATAGAAGTAAGAATAGATTTTCAGAAGCAAATAATAATAATAATAATAATAGTAAGATAATGATAAAAATATTACTGCAAATGGCAAATAAATGAATCTGAATCTGATAATGATAATGATAAGGATAATAATAGCAATAATAATAGTACTGTATATGGTACCAACACTGATTTGTGCCATTCAACAAAAAGTTTAAATTACAAAAGGCCAGCCTTAAAATCTTTATTTAAATTGATTACAATCGCACAGTGTCAACAAAGTTCAAGTTCGAAACAATTAGGTGTATTTCAGTTGGAGGGGCAGTACCAAACAAGTCCAAGGGACAGAAGCAACACTTCCCAAACTTGGCATATTATTCATAATATCTAAAAGTGCAAATATGTTTTTGAACCTTGTCACCACTGAGAATGAGAAGATAATTAGACCAAAGTTGGTATTTACTGTGGAAGACGATGTGGAACTTTGTGTCAATAATACTTCTGACTTTCTTGAGGTTTTAGGTTTACCTCCTTCAATTAATGACAAAGGTGTGTATCAGGACACTTGACAATATTTAGTATTTGGAAAAAGCTGAAAAACAATTTAAAGTGACGGTTTTATGCTATTCACATTTTGTCCTGTTTATGGAACTGCTTTAGTGTTGATACTTGCTCAAAATGAAAAAAAAAAAGACCAGTGCTTGATCCAGCTGTCAGTACTTTCAATGGTAAGAGTGTTCTAAAGTAAAAATAAATATTTCCATATACTTTGTGGGCTGTATTCATGTCCCACTGTTGTCAGATGTTGCCAAGATTTGGTTTGTTTTAGAAGTGTGTGTTTTTCTTTCAAAAAAAATTCATAATTATTATTGTTGTTGAGTGATAAGTAATAAATATGAAATAATACAATTTTTATTTGACCAACAGTCAGGGAATGTCTGTGTAGCAACGCAGTAAAGAATGGTACATAGGACGTGCTACAAAACAACATTCATAGCTGTGAAATGACTTTAAAAAATATTCTGTTTGAAATCCTGACTCTGTATGAGGGGGATCAAGGTTTGAAAGTGTCTTGCACAATAACAGCTTGAACTATATTTAGGGAAACAATAAACAACATAAGGTGAGTTGCCAGTGGACACAGTGTGATGCAGTATTATTATTTATGATGTAGTGTGGTGGTATGACAGAGTTAAGGGGTTACTGGAGGACACACGTAGGAGGATATTCAACAGTTCTACAGCACCATCACACGGTCTTTATTCCATCATGAAGCCATAAGTAAAATTAAACAAACTAAATCAAATCCATGCATTGTTTATGTGTATTGGACATTGGAATAATCAATAATCTATTTGGTAATGAACGCTTCACACTGTTTATCCACCACAGTGTCAGAGCTGTTGTTGTTGTTGTAGAATGCTGCCCCCGCGCGGTGACGTTGGAGCATTACACATGTCTTTCTCTGTAGATTGAATTTGGACCTGCTCAGATAAACACTTTTTCTAGTAAATGACTTACAAAGAAACATTGTGTATGACTGATACATGTTTGTTTTACAACACCTGCGACCGATACCAACTGATATGAAGCGAATCCTGACTGATTGTGATTTACAACGTGTGCAGACATATAAGGCAAAGTAACGTAGAATATTACAACTTTAAAATATCGTTGAAAGAGGGAGATTGTTGTCCGTGACTGCATAGAATTGCATTAATCATAGTTGTAGCTGCTGACTTTGGATGCACGTTTTAAACATGCATTTCTTATCAATTTACAAGTACTATATATGTCCTGTAATTTCCGACCAAAATAACGAGAACCTTATATTGAGGTGCCTACCTCAGAGATTGGACATGAACTTCTTGTCTCTCAGTTCGATGTGTGGTTGTGATAAATAACCCGTGCGTGCATGTGTTGGTCCCTCTCAGGATGTGATCGCATTAGTTCTGTTGAAAACATGTCTTGTTGTTTTCTCGGTGGAGGGAGGACGTGAGGATGCAGAGCTTATGGGAGGTAAAGCCCACCACAGCAGTAGCCTAATGATTATGAAGACACATCCAAAACAAACCTGTCCCCTCCACCGGCCATCTTTGGACTGTTTATGTTAATTACGCACACATTACGCTGGCACCGGCGACAGTTCTGCTGTGGAGCTCCACATCTGATGTGGCGCATCTCGCGAACGTCAAGCACAAGTGTTTGTTTCTGACCACATCCGGTTTTCAGAATATATATGTAGGTTACGAAAAGGTACATGGATTCGGTACACGTATCCACGGTTTTATGACCAAAGACATATAATAATTCAAAATATATCACATCTTCTCCAATCAGGGCTTTTCTTGTGACGATGTGAATGTGTTCGATCGTCTGTGTTATAATCCAGCAGTGTTCAGCGCCTCCTACACTGTAAACTCGTTCACAGGCCACATATGTCAGTATTCAGAAGGCAGTAGAATGCATTAGGCCTATAGGAAAAGTGTGCACAGCGACAGTGCGCAGCTTTAATTGTGTAGCACATCCGGACACACAGATGCGCTGCTCTCCGTGCGCTTTGCGGCTGGTGCGCATCTCTCCCAGATCCGAGCACCGGAGCCTGTCCTGCTGCACCGGAGCCTGTCCTGCTGCACAGTGCTGCAAACAGGGGCCCGTGGTCCTCCCCACTCAGTATTATGACAGTGGGAGCTGACACACATCCAGCCGGAGCCCTGTTTGTTTTGTATGGCGAAATGAGGCAGGGGGTGGAGAGTCGCCACAGAGACGCTGGGCTTCGGCCAAACATCCCTGCATTTTAGCGCTTCTCCATCTCCGTCGGTGCCTGTCCTTTGCATCGCACTGCATCTGCTGCATCGTCTTTTTGTAACGAGCAAATCTGGAAAATGCAGCTCGTTTAAGGACACCCCCACTCCGCTATTCATTGGTGCCATGACAGGCAGAGGACTCGGGCCGCTCCAGCAACAGCCACACTGATCAGAGACGGTGGATGTAATTTACTGTGTGCTGCTGGGAGAGCCTTTAAATATCAGCCGTGCGATTGCACCGTGATTCTCACTCAGGGAAACGAGGAATAATTGAAAACAACATGTCTTCGCGATCTGCACTACCGTCTGGGAACGACAGGAGTACTGGAGACCATGTAAGTGCTGTCCAGTCTGTACAGGCTGCATCTGCGTGCATGCGATGTGAATTCATGCATCTATGAAGCACAAAGCTCTTCTCTCGTGTCACTACACAGGCCATATTGTGCAGCTTGCCCCCTGTAGGTGTGCTGCCGCTCATAGGCAATTAGATGGATGCTGTGGCTGTGAATATGGGCTAACCTTGAGTGTATGCGCGCGCACTGAAAGAGCTGATGGCAGGAATGAGCCGTCCGCAGCCACTCCACGTATATGCGCAGGGAGCCCGAACAGCTCCCGTCACTTATATTAGAATGTGTGGAGAAATAGTGATGTCACGTCATAGCCCGTGCCTCCACTGCCACCGCTTGGTTGTCGCCTTACTGTGAGACGAGGGTGGGAACAGTGCACCGAGGGCCAACATAAACGCAGACAGGTTCAGGTTGTTCGTATGTGGCGAGAGGATTACTGCGTAAAATGATGTGCAGTCCGTTGCTGCGCAGCGCACAAAGCGCCCAACCCCAGTCAGTGGGTGTCAGACAGCGCCATACATCCAGTGTCAAACATTAGGGGCCTGTACACACAAGCAGAGGGCTTATGCACTGGAGATCACACCACCATCTTTCTATATCCATTGCCTTTTGGATTTACGGGCTCAAAATGGTGACATGTCTGATTGACGTAGCGTTATGCGTGCCCTGAACACTTCTGACTGGCAACACTCTCCCCATATGTTTGTAGCAGAGCTTTGTGCACAGAGGGACAGCTAAGCCAGCAGTGGATGTATGTCAAGTGCGTGTTAGGAGGCTGTGATTGATTATGAATGCAGATGCACTTATTTCCTCCAAAATTGGACCTATGTCCATGGCATGCTCCACCAGACAGCAATGACACAGAGTGCTGGCACAGGTGAGCCTGGGCTGATTTATAGAAGTAGGGGCTAAGGGTGGTTCTCCAAGGCAGTGCCCTGAGGAGGGAGTGTCCTGAGGCTGAAGGGGGGGCTGAGGATACATGCCTGGTTTGTGAGGCTGGGAGTGGGGTGACACTGGGGGGGTGGAAGTGTGATACCTCCGGACTCAGGACGAGCCAGGGACCACTGCGCGAGCATCTGCTCCCCATTTCCATAAATATCCATATTTACCACTGTGCTATGTTGTTGCTTTACCTTTAGTCGTGACATCCATGTTTGTGTACATGTCAAACATGGGCATGTACACTTGTATTGGCACAAACATATCACTACATTATCATAGAGTAACATTTGGTTTTACAAAAGAGCGTCCTTCTAAACATGGTTTAGTCATTTCTGGTTCATACTTTCAGTAAATGTCTCTACACCAACAGTCCACTCACACAACAGTATAAAATACACATTAAATAATACATTCAAATAAAAGAACATTCTGTACATTCTTGTTCAGTGAAGACTATGACAACATTACGTGGCCCAATGGCACACTGTCATGTCTCAGACATGTATGTTTCCATGTTGAAGGACATTCCCACAGTCTCTCTGATCAGACTCAGGTCACTCCCTCAGCAGCCACTGCTCTGTTAAAGGTAGAAGCAGGTATTTTTGGTTTCGACCTTTATCCCCTGTTGCACTACATAATTGTGTAATACATTATCCTGAATTAGGGCAGCAGCTAACACGTTTTTTAGTCAACTATTCTATTGATTGATTATTGTTATCTTTAAGTACAGAACATAATATTTGATATATTTTTATGAAAAGTTTGATGCATTCCTCAACTGTCCTCACTTTCTGCTCATCTTCATCTACAGTTTGCCCAGATCTTTAAAAAGTTTGTCTTTAAACTTTCCTTTTACATTGTAAACAAGCCATGACTTCACTCAGAGAAGTTACACGTTATATTTGCAGATCAGGGAGTCTTCTCACTCAATTACTTCTCACATAATTGAGGAATATACATATTTTTTACCAAACGGAGCCACATTTCAAGCAAAGCAATAACATCTAGACGGTGTAGGACCACGAGGACTGTTGATGAACGCACTTAAAGTAAAATAAGCCAAACATAAATACAGTACATGAATGTTCAATGCAAAGAAGTTACATAGAACTAGAAGAATAAAACTGAACCACATGATTTACAGATCTGGGTCGATCTGGAATTCTCTAGTTACTAGGTTGGAAGAACGTATTCTGGGGCTCCAAGAATGTTTTATTATACACCAACATGTTTTTTCTATCATTATTATGCTAAGTTTAATATGGGCTGCCCTGGCATGTTAACTATTCCAAACATTCATCCCAAAACACAATTAGTAATAATTAGTCTACAAAAACATCCGTGGTCCAGTGGAATGTTCAGTCACTTCTGCCGATTAACCTCAGTAGAAATACTGCCTGACATATGCAGAGATTATGGGCTGGCGAACCCCATGGGGCCTAGGCCCTGGTGGTGAATACATGACAATTCCTTCACGGAAGAAGCAGGCGGGTTCCTGCACGAACAGCAGCTTGATGCACTGAGCGGTGATGCTGCGGCCTGATGTGTGTGGCTGAGTGAGGACTCAGTGGCAGGAGAGAGTGAGCTCTGAGAACCATGTTTCTCAGTCTTCCAGTCTTAATCTGCGCTTCAGCTGCATTTCTGTGTGAAACAAGAGCGTGAATTATAGTTATATATTACGTACAGTATATTAGTTTAAAGTAGATATTATTGATTGATGATGATAAATAAAGACTTACGTGACCATCAGTAACTGATACAGACAAAACAGATTTATAATTTGGCCGATTAATCGAGGAAGCAAAATTATAATATGTTAATTTTGTTAACTGTGAAGAATAGTTTTCAGCTCATCTCAAGTCTTTCATGGAACAACGAGGGATGGGCACATTCCATGATTTACAAAACAGATATAAGAGCAATATTGTACAGAGAATGTTATACGATAGAGGGTACAGTTGAATACAAGTGAATACATGCCATTTTCTTAATACAGATTATTCATTTTTTTAGAATATTTAACAGATCAAGGTCACACAAAGCACTTTACAATGTTTTTGGAGTCCAGATATTTTCCATTCTCTTCACTCACAGTGATGACAGAAACGAGATGCCGACCATCACCTTCCATTCAGTCACTCATTACACTCAGACCAAGGGGGTAGGGGAAACCGGAGCACCCAGAGGAACCCTATGCAGACAGGGGGAGAACATGCAAACTCCACACAGAAAGCCCCCGTCTGGAGCTGAATTCCAATCCAGGACCTTATTACTGTGAAGCACAAACGTTAACCACTGTGCCACTGTGCTGCCCTGACATGCTCTATATACTGTACATGGTATATTTAGTGTATAATCTCACCAAAATCACTAAATATAGTCCCAGGTTTTACATGGTTGGTGAGTACAAGCACACAATACTCAGTACTGGGCATCGGTATCAGTATCGGTATCGGTATTGCCGTATCCCTATTCATTGCCTAATATTAATGTTTAACTGGTGCACTGAAGTCATACTATTTCTGCGAGAACTAAAGCTCTTGTGAGAAGTGCAATCCCAGTCCCTTTTTCTTCTACAAATTTTCACAGTTACAGGAAGATTTTGGAAAGTGAAAATTCACAAAAACGCTGCTAAAATAAACACATACGCAATTTTTGGTGTCAAGGAGAAGCTGAAGACATGTTTTGAGAATAATCAGATAGTAAGTGACTCATAAATATAAGATGGAACTTCCTAATAATAATAATGTAACTCTTAGTGATGCCTGGGACTGTTTTACCCGTTGCACTCAACAATGACAAAAATAAAGAGCAGAACAAAACTGAGTGGATCCATCTGGAATCTTCCAGTGTTTAGAACAACATATTTGGACACCAAAAAAAATTCTATTATTTTTATATATTATGCTAAGTTTAATATGGGCTATGATGCCATGTCTGTGGCATGGTATGGATTTGCAGCTGATAATGTTTGCCTTTGGAAAAAACAAATTAAACTCTTACAACTAAGGCTGAGCGGAGACGCTCAAACTTCCAAACGCTTGTATCCGAGATCTCGACCTTTTGGTCGTTACCCAAAGCTCATTAGCATAAGTGAGGGAGGGAACAAAGATTGACTGGAATATCGAGAGCTTTGCCTTTTGGCTCAGCTCCCTCTTCACCACAACAGTCTGAAACACCAGCGACCTGCCTGTCAATCTCACGCTCCATCCTTCCCTCACTCGTGAACAAGAACCAGAGATACTCGAGGAAGGACCTCTCCACCTGGAGAGAGCAAAGCACTTTTTTCTATTTCTAAAACGTAAAGAAATTCAGAATCAGAATCAGAATCAGAATCATTTTTATTGCCACGTAAGTAACAGGAGGTCACAGACTAGGAAATTGCTTTGGCTCAGTGCAACAGTCAAAAAGAGATAATAAAAATAAGAATAAAAAACACTTCTAAAGAATAAATTTAAACTTAAAATAGAGATACAGTTACTATTTACAATATACAAGTGCACATGGTGCACACAATGTAAGGTGACAGCAGTACAGTGAAGTAAAGTGACGTATGATGGGCAGTAAAGTGACTTTATAAAGGGCGGGGGGACAGGTTACGAAGTGTTCAAGAGTCCAACAGCAGAGGGGAAGAAACTGTTCTTGTGGCGGGAGGTTCTAGTCCTGATGGACCGCAGCCTCCTGCCTGAGGGGAGTGGTTGGAATAGTCCATGTGCAGGGTGAGAGGGGTCGGCTGTGATACGACCAGCCCGGCCTCGAGCTTGGGCGACGTACAGGTCCTGCAGCGATGGAAGGCTGCGGCCGATCACTTCCTCTGCAGAGTGCACAATGCGCTGTGGCCGATATGTGGGGAGAAGTCATGGTTTATTATCTCCCTGGAATGCTAGGCCTTTTCAAAAGTTTGTTATCCTGTGCTCATTTCAGCAGTGAAGTAGTTTCTCTTTCATTTTCACCCCACATTTCTCTGCAGCACTATTATTGTGGTCCAGTGAAGTTGTTCTTGTGTGGGTTTGTCGCCCCATGAGCCTGTGTGGTTCTTTCATGTCATCTCTGTATCTACCGCTGTTTATGTGCTCATTATAAAAGTTGTCGTCCTCCTGTTCTCTTGCCCTCAGCATGTGCCGCTGGGGGCCAGTCGTGCGGACAAGTCCACGAGTCAGTCCAGCCGCTCGCTGGGGGCCCGCTGTAGGAACTCCATCGCCTCCTGCTCAGACGAGCAGCCGCACATAGGCAACTACCGCCTGCTCAAGACCATCGGCAAGGGCAACTTCGCCAAGGTCAAGCTGGCTCGCCACATCCTGACGGGCCGAGAGGTGAGGGTCAGGGTCTGGAGAGCACGGGCTTAGGCCTCCACGAGTTTGGAAAAGAATGTAATTGCAATATTTCTGACCGACACTGATATCCTCTAGGAACTGCAAGAACTCCCAGAGCAGTTCTTTTTATTCAAATGAATGTAATTCTGAGAAAATACCAGTTTCAGGTTTTTCACTATTAAAATTAAAATGGTTTTCAATTTTTAGTATATCTTTAATACATCTTTAATACATTCTAAAACTGGTTTACTCAAATGAAAAACAGCTAATACTAACTGCTACAAGTAAACAGTGTTGCTATGGTAACTAGCACTTGCTCAAAGCTGAGACTGCTCTGAACCAGTTTAGGACCAGTTCAGGATCAAGATAATTCCATAAACATATTAACAAATAGATATAGAAAAAGTCACAAAGGTATGGAGACCAAAAACGTACATAACTACACTTCCAAAACAAAAAGCCGTCAAATTGACTGCTTTGGGGTTCTAGTGGTCTAGAGCTGCCAAAGCTAATTTTGTCTAATTTTAAAATATCAACTTTAAGAGAGTTCCATTTGAAAAAGCGAGATAGGAAGCAATGGCCCTCTTCACAATCACAAGTCTAGAAAATGTTCCAACCTTAGTACAAACATCTCTCTTAGAAATGAAAAATTCACTGCAAAAATATGAAATATATATAAACGCCTGAGTTAAGTAGTTTTCATATTCCCTCTAAATTCTTCTAGTCAGACATAGATCATGGACATTATGCCAGTTTGGATAAATCATGAGATTTGGAATCATCTGATTTAGAATGATTTTCCCCGATAACAAGACAAAAGATCAAAATAAACCCTTTTTTTATTTGCAAAGAACTTTTGTTTGAAAAAAAACTACACTTGGTGTAGACCAATCAGAAAGGAAGGGGGAGGGAGCTTGGGTCTTTTTTTTTCCAAATCATGTACCTCTCTCTCTTTTTTTCTGACAAACTCCAGACAATCAATCTAATGTATGTTTTCATGACAGTGCGTTATGTGGGATGTACTATCAGACTAATTGGTATTGAATACATCAGATCAAAGGTTTTGTCCCGGGGCTTTTCCATCGACAGGTCTACAGCTCCTCCTGCAGTAAAAGCCTGTTATTTGGAGCAGAGTTCGCACTTTGGAACTGGAGCTTTGAGCGGAAAACATGCATTTATTTAGTTCATCCACTGCATATGTTTCCAATGACCAGTATTAAAGACCATTTGTATTTCTTTTTGATTTTAGAACATCACTCAGCCCTGTGTTTATGGAAACTCTCTTGGTCATAATTCTTTTCCTACACTTTTATGAATAATATCTATATTTTGTATTGATTCACAGCCTTTTTTAATTACAAAGATAATTGAGTCTTTCAATGGAAAAGAAGTTGCTGTTTTATTATTGTGTTATTTTACTACAAGTAGCAGATATTGTTTCCAACCCTATGTAAACAAAGGGATTTAGGGCGACCTTTCAGCGAGCCACACCCTCCGCCCGCAATTACTTCTGATGTTGCTTTTCTCAGTTGAATTTGTTTTAGTAAAAAAACATATAAGTGGTTCATGCGATGAAAATGTCAACACAGAATTACCAATGACAATCACAGGGAAAAAAACATAAACATTTGCTCTCTTTAAATAACTGATGATTTTTTTTTAAGCCAAACAAAAAAGCAGGAGTTAAAGCTGTTCTCGTTGCTTTTATATTGAAGATTTATCAGTGCGTATAAAGACTTTGTCACAGACATCAGTACAGTTCAAAGAAAGAGTTAATTTCACGGATCGACTGAAATCACTTTGTTATAGCAGCGCCCTAAGTGTAACCTGTGTCCTCGCTGGGAATTTTTAGGCTTTGATTGAAATTCTCAAATCATTTCTTTGTATTAAAAAGTAATTATTACCAACATTTAAATTATGAATAATTAAAAACTTTAAATCTCAAGACTCAAGTTTAACTCAGATAAACACAATTCCACGATCAGAGGGTAGTCTTAAGGACAGAGTTTAATGGTCACTACCACAACATTAGTCTCAGACGATCAACAGAATAATTGTCTTTGTTTTTGCAGGTTGCAATAAAAATCATTGACAAAACTCAGTTGAATCCGACCAGCTTACAAAAGGTGAGTGCTTTATCTGCATGGGCCTCATACACATGCTATTTCTCTCTTTATAATACATATATATTAGTATTGTTATTATATTATTACATGGACCATGAAGCATGGAGAGGACATGTCATTCACATATAAACCAGAAGATTACATTCACCCAAAACACTTAATGTCTGAAACTGAACCTCTGACTTTGGAGAGAGTCATCTCTCCTCAAACTGAGCCATTAGATCTTATGTAAACTTCTACTGTAAGTACGGTTTATCTGAGCTCCTTTATCTTTAGGGAAGGAAAACCAAACAAACACATTATTATTACAGGTTGATATTGATGGATTTGAGATTTTTTTTGGTATTCGAGTATTTCTGTCTTCTTTATCAGATACATTGTCGCATAGTGATCATAGTGATGTCATTTCCTTGACATGTTTTGACAACAACTTCCGTCTTCGTGGGTGTCTAAGTGAAATATTGTTAACGTTACTTTTATAGTTCTATTTTTACCCCGGCTCATGTGAAAGCATATATCATATTATTATCAGAAGGAGTCAGATGTGAACGGAGGCAATCATACACCTTTCCACACACCCTGCAGGCGGACTGTGACTTTAGATGATTATATAGAAAAATACTCAAAGTGACCTTTTTTTTTGTATTGTATTGTATATGTATTGCTTATATTTTATTCCTCTGTAACCTGCGGTCCTTCAGTCTCCCTGCAGCTAGCCCTGCACGCAGACCTACCTGACACGCCGGCCGAGAGCCACAATGGTGATGTGTAGCTGTGAGGAGAAAGAATCAGGATAGGCCTCTGATTGGAGAGAACATTGTACAATTGGCCAGTGATGATCGCAGCCTTCTTTACATACCCGTGGGCTACAGAAAATCCTCTATACTGAAGACATGAAAGAGCTCGTATTAGCATAATCTGGTTGGTTATGTGTGTAGAATATCTATACACTGTATGTAATAATAAAAACCCTATAGACACAAAGGAAAAGGAATGATAAAACAATACAGGTCTAGTACAATATTATATGTTGATAGCATGGTTGTGTATACTGTACATCCTTCAATAGCTTTCATAATCAACCCACGTCTGGAGCTCGGGGGCTTGTTTCCCTGTTGCCTAATCATCTTGTATGTTTTTCGTTTCTCTGAGATTGACATCTAGCCCGGGGACTGTTTATTGTTGTGACCACTTGCACAGATTAGCGCGTGTTCCGGATACGACCGATCTGCACTACATATCCCAAGATCCTTCTCTGGCACAGATGGAAAAAGCCGGGAAAAACCAGGCTCGGTCTTAATACCTGGGTCACTATGGCAACAGTGACGTTGGAGGCAATGCTGGAAATGGGGAAGAGGGGGAGGACTAGAAGCAGAAAAATCTTATCACACAATCGTTTTATTTTATTTTTTTCGAATGGGAAGACGCAGAGGAGGGTCAGTGGTTGTCTGGCAGCGAAGACGGCTTTTGTCAGAGGAGTGCGTGGCGCTGGATGTGGACATATTAGAGCTTTGTGCAGTTTAATCCCCCCTCCACTTCATAAACACACATCACACATGCGGCGACAAGTCCTCACACTCTTTTGCGTTGATGCGTGGGCCATTTGTTGTGGTTCAGAGGTTTGAATCAAGCAGAGTCGATGACACCTCTGCAGATTGGACCCAAGTCAGCAACGGAAAGTGAGATATTAGTGCAAATCTGTATTCATAAATAGCCGAGTGTCTATGCGGACAGACTGACGAGACTTCATTAGAAAGAACCTTTGTGAAAAATACAGAACATCCAGTTACTTTACACAGACAGATAATACATAAGTTATTAACAATTATAATCAGCATATACTTGTTATTAAGGTGAGGGTGCTGATCCCATTAGGGCCATCTGTCCTCTGCATTTGACCCATAATGTTTTACTTTACCATCTTCAGCAGAAACCTCAAACGGTGGTTAAGATCCATTGTTGTTCTCACAAGCAAATTGTATTGTAATTGTTTGAACTGTATTTTATCTGTAAAAGCCCCCTGTGGACTAGTGTTGAAAACTAGGACCTGTGCATTGAGGAATGCAGTCCTCCAATCAGCAGCTTCCACGGTGCCATGTAGCTTGGCCTTCAGAAGTCAAAACAAGGGAAAAGTACTGGCTTCTGCACATTGATAGAATGATGAGTTTAACTTTAACAAAAGTTGCTTAAAAGTGTTATGAAATCTCACAAAACTTACGGCAGGGGTCTCCAACCTGTAGATCGGGAGCTACCAGTAGCTCACCAGCCTCTTTCAGGTAGCTCCCCAAAGGATTCGGAGATTAACAGATGATTCTGAAAGATTATATTCTTGGTCATTACATATCTATTTTAAGTACAATCGTAGGGTCATACAGTATCATGGTGTATTTTACATCTGTGTTCTCCATGTTTTGTGATAGTTATTTCATTTATATAATTATATAGACGTTTATTATGATTACGAAAAGGAGTAGCTCTACCTCTTCTGCTGTATAAAAGTAGCTCTTTGATTGAGAAAGGTCGGAGAGTGAGACTCCTGACTTACAGCGATGCATCTGGTTTGTTCAATGTTATTGTTATGTCCATAATAAATAAATAAATAAATAAACATATCATATTTTTGTATACATATACAACTGGAAAACCTATAAATTTAAATGTGTTACTTTTTTCTCTGTGCAGCACTTTGGAAATTTGTTTTATAAATTGTTCTATATAAATAAAGTGGAAGTGAGATGCTGCAAGGCCACTAGGGAAAACCTGTCAGGATAGTGGGCCACACAAAGCTGAACAGAACCACTGGAAAGGAGTGTTTTAACCCGGAGCAACCATGGGAAACCTACGCAGACACAGGGAGAACATGCAAATTCCACTGAGAAAGGCCCTGTTTTGACCGCGATTCTAACCCAGGACTTTCTTGCTGAGAATCGAGAGTGGCAGTAATATATGTTTGGTTCTTAATTAAGATTTAAAAATGTCATCCATAAAGTCATAGGATGTGACTTTTTTGCCAAAACAATAACAGGACAATGTTGAGGAGGTTTGCATCTCCACAAACCTGGCTCGTAGTTGTCCTGGATCTACGCCTTTGTCTTTTTCCATGCACATGTTGTTAATTCGGCTCTAGTCTTCCACTAATATGCTTTAAATGTTTCCATAGAATCCCGAACGTCCACCACCAGAGAATAACATTATGTCTGTCTTTGCAGCTGTTTCGGGAGGTGCGAATAATGAAAGGCTTAAATCATCCAAACATTGGTAAGTGAACATATGAATTCTGCTTCATGGTGAATTTAAAGCTGGGGTACGTCACTTTTTTCCACCAGAAATTACACATTTTATTTGTCCTACTCTAAACAGTCTTGTGAAATGTCATGAACCAATAAGACCACAACATGCTGTCTTCATCTTGTTATAAAACATGAGCCTCATGAGTCACTATTCAACTCAAATTGGCTGAGCACTGATTGGCTGAGTGCAGGTGGTCCTCTCTTCAAAAACACACACATGAGAAAGCTAAGAAACCAAACTGTTTTGAAAGCGAGAATCAAAGCAGTTATCTTGGAGGACTTAACAAAACCATTGAATTCGCCAACACAGAATGCAATTATAATTTTTTTTTTTTTTTAAACACAAAGTTATTGGTCCATAAGGGGCAGGAGACCAATGCCCATAAATGTGAATAAGATACCTCAGCTTTAAGATACATTTACGGTTCAGGTTTGGCAAGTAGCAAAAGTTTGTTTTTTTATAATCCAGGACACGTGACATTCAACGAGATTTATGGAAATTTTTCTTTTCCAATCGACATTGGTCATCTGCCCCTTATGGACCAATGGCGCTATGTGTTTTTTAATCATTGCATTTCCTGTATTGAGCTTTTTGATTCTCTGATCTTTGTTGGCAAATATGACTGTTTTGTAAAGTCCTCTGAGATTATTACGGTTGTGATTTAAGGCATTTGGCTTAGACAGATCACCAAAAATATCACCGTTATTTCACCATGGCAACCCAACACTGCCCCTGTCAAGTGGTGAAATTAAGGAAGGACCCAAAAAGCAGGAATGCTAAAATAATGATAAAATGAAGGAAATAGATAAAACTCCAGGGGAAAACAATAACCAAAAATCCAGACAAAACTCAGGAACCAGGAAAACAGACGGACAAAGACTATGGACCAGCAACAAATGAGATAGAGCACAGAAATAGACACAGAGAGAGACACAGGCAACGGGACAGGAAGTCAAAGTACAAATCCACACCATGACAGCCCCTTCACGTGTGACCAGACATGAATAATACTCTGAATATGCTTTAAAGCAGCCAATGACCACGGCAGCATCACACAACATGTACAGGTCAAAAGAGTGGATCTTCTCAGGCTGAAATGTCATCCGGATCAAAAACCACTCATAGTATTAGCTCCAGGTGGCGCTATATAAAGCCCCTCCAGGCAGACAGCTGTGTGATTATTTCCTATGCACACACTGTATACACACTCATGTTAATCTAATTCTGCTTTGGCCCACAGTGCAGCTGTTTGAGGTGATTGAGACGGATAAGACCCTTTACCTTGTGATGGAGTACGCCAGTGGAGGTGGGTGCTCTCTCTGTCATATCCGCTCAAATGTGCGCAGGGGGACATTACGCAATAGGTTATTAGGTTAATAGGTTGAGCCTGGGAGTACATTTGATTATTTTTGTCAATATTTTTCACTTATCTACTTCTACAGACCACTGGAGATATTGACAATTCTGAACAAACTGAGGTCTTCCCCCCTGAAATGTTATTATTGTATTATTACTGTTTATTCACTGTACACAGAGAGATATGGAATAGTATTCTGACATTCACTGACCACAGTATGGTCTGACCACAGTATGGTCTGACCACAGTATGGTCTGACCACAGGCTCTGGTCTACAGATCTGAAAGACAAGTGTAGTGTAGTGCCATGTTCCTAGATGTAGGTCAAAAACACAACCATACACACTACATTACACTCCTGGCTAAATAATGCTGCTAGGAGATATGTCTGAAAGTGTAATGTGTTTTCTATACAGGAATTGCTTTTCACAAGGCATTAAAGGAAATATTTTCATGGTCTAGTTTACATTGCTCGATATGCCACCCTAGCATATCATGAAACAGTCGTCATATACTGTGTTGTTTTGATAAGTAAGAGATTGGCCTCTGAGAGAAGATTCTTTGTGTGACATCTATCCATATCCTGCAGATACAGACTGTATAGGAATATACACTGTAAATCAGGCATGTCAAACTCAGGCCCGTGGGCCAAAGCCGGCCAGACCATTATAAGCTGTCCCCTAAAATGATTTTCAATGATATTTATCGCAGTCACTTTCAGCATTGACAGTGATGAGCGACTATGGCATGTTGTACTTCCTTTTTAAGCATATTATCTCAGAGGAAAAAAACAATATCATTTAATCTGCTCTAAAAGGTTAACTGAAATGTATTAGAATTTATGGTTATTTATGGTTATTTTTTTTTTTATATTTATCAGTATCAGTATATCAGTTTTCAAATACATATTGTCGTGATATTTGGCCAGTTGTGGTTGAATTCAAACTTGTGTTAAATACATTACAAAAGAACAACATTTATACTTTTAACATTCACTTTTATACTTCTGGCCCTATCCAGCCCGATGAGTTTGACGCCCCTGCTGTAGATTATGATATTGTTATTATCATTATCATTACTTATTGATGCAAGCAGGGCACTGGACACTTTGTGTATGTTCTTAGGTGAAGTGTTTGACTACCTCGTGTCTCATGGGAGGATGAAAGAAGTTGAAGCTCGAGCTAAATTTCGTCAGGTAAAGATTCAAAGCCTTGTATTTTGTTTTGCCAATGCCGCCCAATAATATGTGTGCTATTTCTCCTCTGTGGACAGATTGTTTCCGCCGTCCACTACTGCCACACAAAGAACATTGTCCACAGAGACCTGAAGGTGAAGAAACTCTCTCTTCTTGGGTCTGTGTCAGAAGTGCAGGATTAAGGCTAGTCTAAGTCTAGAAAATATCTTTTTCTGGCAGATTAGTCAATACTTACCATAGTGAAAGTTACTAATCTGGGACTAGTCTTAATCTGGTCTAAGGGCCCTGAGAAGGATGCTGAGAGGGGATGTGTGGTCAGAGCTTGGCTGCTGTTCAGATACATTATAATGTTGCTGCTCTGACATGTACAGAATGACTCATGGCCAGTTTCTCTGCACACACACACAAGCTCCACCCCTCTCTCCATCTGTGTCCCTTTTGTTTTTTCTCTTGACAACAATCCCCACTTGTGTCCTCCTACATGTCAGCGTTTCCTCCCCCCACTTTAGTCTATTTCCCCTCCTCTGCACCCCAATGTTGCTGTAAAAATACCAACCCTCCTCTCGGTGACTGGCCGCTCTTCCTGCTGGGTCAGAACTAAACATGGGGAGGCAGCATTTCAGATATGCGTAGCTAAAATCTACAACAGTATTCCTGAAAGTGTGAGACAGGCCAATTGTTTGATAGTGTTTAAATCCAGGTTAAAAACTGTTCTGTTTTGCTATGCATAAAAGTGAGGGATTTTATTTTAGGGGTTTCTTCAACCATTTGGTAGATCACGTTTTGAGTCACTATATCTACTTTAAACAGCTTGGAAATTAAACTATACCTCTTTGGGGAATCTCCCTTGGTTGCTAGGCCCTTTTAACATCAAACTGCGTTGCAACCATTTGGCACAGGCTTGTAATTTAATAGAACTAGGGGTTAGAAAAACAAAACAAAAATGTAACCTATAAACATGTTATTTGTGTTATTAGTGCTCCTAGATCTTGGATAATCCCCCGAAATAATTCTTGGAGATTGTTCATAATTGTAATGCCTTGTGTAATTGTTTTTGTCTTTTTTTGTTTAGCAGCTTGAGTTGGCTTGTGTATGAATTGTGCTCTACAAATAAACTCGCCTTTCCTCTGACCATGCCCTACACCACACTGTCTGTCCTCCCAGGCCGAGAACCTTCTCCTCGACGCAGACTCCAATATCAAGATTGCAGACTTTGGCTTTAGCAACGAGTTCACCCTGGGCAATAAACTGGACACGTTCTGCGGCTCGCCCCCCTACGCTGCCCCCGAGCTTTTCCAGGGCAAGAAGTACGACGGGCCTGAGGTGGACGTGTGGAGTCTGGGGGTCATCCTCTACACCCTGGTCAGCGGCTCACTGCCCTTCGACGGACAGAATCTGAAGGCAAGTGCAGAAGGGGGCGTGGTTTGTGCGCTCGGGTATAAAATTAGTGAGTGATTTTTAGTAATTACAGCGTCAATGTGTTTCCTGTTGACCCCTTTACTTAGGCTGTCTGTACTTCGCTCTCACACTACTCTTTATCGACTTGTCCTGACTTGTAGTCTGTGAACTCCTACGTGGAGGCAACACTTTCTTTTACAGTCGTGGCAGCGTTCTGTTTTTCTCAAAGAAAGTGGTGGATTCCTACTCACGCAGTAAAGTCAGCTGGAAATGAACAAGCAGTGTTGTTAGTGACTTTGTGTTTTGGCAAAATGGGTCTTATTTATGAGTAGAGAGAAAAGTGCGGAAAATGAATGAATGAATTGACGCTAAAACCATTTAATTCAATTTATTTTTGTATAGCCAGCAGTCTTGGAGGACTTTACAAAATTGGTGATTCTCCAGCAACAGATTAGAGCAGTGTTCCCCAACCTTTTTGAGCCGTGGCACACCTATCACATGGCACAACACCAGCTGAAACATGCAAAGTCATTCTCATCTCAAGTGTATTATATAGAAAATTAAACAAGCCCAAAAAAGTTATTCTAATCTTCTCACATTATTTTATTTTCACATTTTATCGACCAATCAGGTGATCATGGATCATTCCCAATGCCACAACATCTCGAGACACACTAACATACCTCGGCTCGCTGGTTGAAAAACAGCAGAATCACAAATACCACAGGAAATGCAATATTACGACTAACACTGAATGTATTGATGTTTTATATAAATGTTTTTGAAAGTTGTTTTGTGAATCTCTCTTGGAAGGGACGCCCTTACAAAAGAGACGTTTTGAATCTCTATGGGTTAGATTAAAAACACATGTAGGCCTGTAGCGACTGATTTAAAGTAGCAGTTTAAAAGAAAATCTGGCATATTTACAATTTATGTACAATTTATTGCTAACTTTTAAATGTGATGTCTCAATAAAATAAAATAACATCCATCCATTTTATTCCCCTTAATCCATCTCTGGGTCAGGGGGGTGGCAGTCAGAGCTGCACCCAGTACACACAACACCAGCCCCTCACTGATCCTCCTGCAGGTGGTGAGTCCACAGGAGCTGGATCTTTTAGTGGGGGCTTCAGGCAAAGTGGGATTAAGTGTCTTGCCCAAGGACACAAACGACAGCAGATATCAGTGGGAGTTGTAGGTCTTGAGGTGGGCACGAACCCACAACCTTCAGGCCAAAGGTCAATGCTTAACCAACTGTCGCCCTCCAAAAAAATAATATGAAATATTAAAATAATAATAATAATAATATTTTAAAATAATAATATTAGAATTTATATATATATATATATAGATATATATATATATAATTTTTTTTTTATGGTCCATGGCTGGATGTGTGTAATGTTGAAGTAAATACACCAAATTACATTAAAAAAATAAATTGGTATTGAATATTGAGTAATTTTCGAAGATTGTAATGCGACAACACTATTACCAGTATTGACCAATTAAGTGGAAGTAGCCAATATTTTGTTATTCATCAATACAACGTGAATACTTTTAGTTTTGTTTGAGTTAAGTAGTATTTTGTGACACTTCATGTGACTGGAGCGCTTGACTTTATTCAGATAAAAAAGTTCCAACAGAAGTGTAATTGTTTAAGTAACATTTTGTGATAAATCTGACCGTAACATCTTTATCTTATTAGAAAACATTTGAGATTTGATACAGGCCAAAAATACATGTGAATCCAGAGAACCGTTTTGAGAGCAAGGAACTAGATACATGGATTTAATTGCATAGTTATTGTGGTTTTAAAGTTAGGTACTCCAGCTTTAATTGTACATCTCAGCATAAATAACATCCACATGTGAATCTTCCGCAGGAGCTGAGGGAGCGTGTGCTGAGGGGGAAGTACCGCGTGCCCTTCTACATGTCCACAGACTGTGAGGGGATCCTGCGCAGGTTCCTGGTGCTCAATCCGACCAAACGCTGCACTCTGGAGGTGAGACTTCTCCGCATCTGCAAGAAAGAAAAAAAACTAAATATTGTTAACCATGGCAACGATGTGTCTCATTTAAACAGCAAGTAATGAAGGACAAGTGGATAAACTGTGGCTATGAGGGCGAGGACCTGAAGCCTCATATAGAGCCTGTGGAGGACTACAGCGACTCGGCTCGAATCGGTGAGATTGTTATTGATGATTTTTGTCCGTATCAAGTGTGTAGCATCTGTGTGTGAAACAAAGCCAGATTCTCTACACTGATTATGGTTTGGATTTCAGAGGTGATGGTTGGGATGGGCTTCACTCCAGAGGAAATCAAGGACTCGCTTCTAAATAAGAAATACAATGAGGTGACTGCCACCTACCTGCTGTTGGGTCGAAAAGGCGAGGTAAGATTTTTCATTTCCCTTTGCCAACAATATATGAGAGCGAATTCTGTAGTGGTCTATTTGTCCCTTATTTTGCAAATGAATAAAAAAAAAAATCATTGCCTTCACAACTTCTATTGCCCTTTCCCGGTGATATCATTACCAGAAAGTAGTGACGTGGACCTTGGTCAGTCTGGATCAGAGTCACTGTTTGGACAATGTGAGACATGAACATGAAGTCCTGTGACTTGAGACACCTCAATTAAATATAATATATGCAGTTCATTTCCCTCTGCGCGGCTCTTGTGACTAGAACCATTTTTGTTTTCATTTAAAAAAAGGGACATTTAGAAAAAGGAGAAACCATTCGCAAGTTGAACTTAAACCTGAAAATGTTTGAAATGCATCTTGTGTTCAGGATGGAGAGGCCCGCAGTGCCAGTAGCTTGTCCCTGGCGAGGGTACGGCCCAGTCCCATCACCAATGGAACCAACAAGCACTCTTCTGCCTCAGGCTCCTCCTCCTCCACCTCCTCCTCCCACAGCAAGACGCAGCGCAGTGCGTCCACGTACCATAGGCAGCGGCGGCACAGTGACTTCTGTAAGTATCTGCTCTCACATGGAAGGCTTCACCCGAGGGCAGCAATTACACATGCACTGGTTACATTCAATACATTACCTTTTGTGTACCATCTATTCAAGTTTTTGGCTGCAACGTTTCAGTAGATATTTAGCATGGCCGACTGCAGTCTCTGAGGCAAAGCCTTTCCTGCTCACAAAGAGTCATTATTATTGACATAAGATACTTGAAGCAGAAAGCATTTGTTATTTTTTGCAGCCGTCTGCTATTTCACAGACCGTGTCTTATATTCGACTTTGCCTCTTTTTGCCCGTTGTCCTCCACAACAAAGGCGGCCCGTCCATGCCGGTCATGCACCCAAAGAGGAGCCCGACCAGTACGGGCGAGCGGGAGCTGAGGGAGGGCCGCATGCCGTCCCGCAAAGCCAGCTGCAGTGTGATGGGCAGTCACAGCCTGCCCCCCTCCAGTCCTATGGTCAGCAGTGCCAACAACCCCAACAAGTCCGAGATCCCTGACCGCCGCAAAGACATGACTGCCACAACGGTTGGTTTCACTTCCAAAAGAACGTCCAACGTCATCAGTCCTAAATCTTTTGTCTTTTCTCTGGTCATAGAATAACATCCCAGGAAGCTCCATGACTCGGAGAAACACATATGTGTGCACAGACCGCTCAGGCGCTGACCGACACTCGCTTCTACAGAACGGAAAAGACAACAGGTCAGTCCATGTTTTTTAGACTTCTCTGGAACCAGATGCTTTGTCCATAGTGACTATAGTCAGTTTTATAATCTTGTGGGACTTGAGTCACAGAGGGATTGTGTAATTTATTTCGCAAACATTTCTGAAAGATAAGTATAATTTCAAAAATACAGTGCAGTAGCTTTTTCAAATTATTCCTATTGATGATCTGCTCATGTCAAGTCAAATGGGACATTTTGTGCTTGTGATCTTTTGGCAAAATACATTATAATGACAATGGCACTGTGGTCAAATGTGGTCAGAATTTAACTCTTTGGCTCAAATCCAAAATGTTATGTATGGCTCAAAACTATCACCATCCCCAGTGTCAAATATGGGGGTGGCAGCATCATGTTATGGGGCTGATTTTCTTCAGCAGTGACAGGGAAGAGGGTCAGAGTCGTAGGAAGGTGGATGGAGCAAAGTACACATTTTTGCTTTCACTTCACAGTTGTCTATTACAGTGTTGTGTTCTTTCAGTGAAATATTGTGCGTTTGTAAATGTGCAGTAGTTCAGGCTGTACTAATACTTCGGCGAGGCTCTGTAACCAAAGGCCTTTCTTCCTCAGCTCCTTGGGCCACCGCATGACTCAGGCGTCCCCGTCCACGCTGAGCATCTCTGGAGCCGGAGCCGCGTCTTCTTCCTCGGAGCGCTGCCGTCTGACCCGGGGCTCCACCATCCGGAGCACGTTCCACGGGGGCCAACTGAGGGACCGCGGGGCCCCTGTGTATTCTGCCCCGCCCACGTCTCCCACGCTGTCCCACCATGAACCCAGTCCCCTGCCACACGCACGCACCCGGGCCACCTCCAACCTCTTCACCAAGCTGACCTCCAAACTCACACGCAGGTTGGTCCACTCTCCGGGATGGAAACACACAAAAGAATATCGTTAAGATTGTAAAAAACATATACAAATTTACCACTGAGGAATCTTTCTTGTAATTATGTAGGCGAGATGGTTATTACTGTTTTATTACTGTATTATTGTTAACTTTATAAGAGACTTCAAGGGAGTCCTAAAAGCAATAACAGAAAATATTAAACAAAAAAGTATGGAAGCATTTGTTGGAAGCCAGATCTCACTTGCTGTATAGAAAGTGTCCCATATTCAATTCTGCTTCTTTGACACTTAAAGGGTCAGTATTGAATGAATATTTTTTCCCAAAATGTTGTAACAATAGAAAAATGTGTTAAATTGTTGACTAAATAAAAGAATAATGTACGAGTAGTGGATTACTAAAGGTGAGTGGCAGCACTACAGTCACTACGGCAACGGGAGAGTAGCGACAATGCGGATCAGCTCTTGTTCCTTTTTGCTAGTCCCAGTCCAGCTCTGGATTAGCCTGTGCTCCCCTTTCTTACCACTCATCATAATCTGACACATATAATCTTATCAAACCTCTGCTTAATCCCTGCCAATCAGCTCCTGCGCTGCGCTCTTCTCCATCCCTTGTCTTTGGTGTCCTCTGCCCCTCCCCCTACAGCCCCTCCCCCCTACATCCCCCGACATGTACTTCTCATTCGCCCCTCTTTATCTTAATCTTTTCTGCTTTCCACTGTCATGGCACCAGGGTCAACCTTGACCCCTCCAAGCGCCAGGGCTCAAACAAATCAGTGTCGGGTTGTACCCTCCCACAAGGATCAAAAACAGTTAGTAAGTTTCCCACGTCTCTTGCTTCTGCCGTCCTGCTCCACCTGCACCACTGTCACACACTTTGCTTTACTGCAGCATGACTTGTACAAATGTGGTTTATTTTCTGCATGAGTACATTTTTATTATTATTTTATTTTATTTTTAATTTTTTTGTGAATTTTGAGAATGTTGTGAGTCGTTATGTTGCCACGTTTTGTGAGAATATAAGGTTTCTTTATTGGTTTGTGAGTTCATGAGAAAAAAATTATACTTTAATAAAGGAAAAAATTAGAATACTGTTTAGAATAGCTAATTTAATTCTGTAGTTCAACTTAAAATGTGAAACTGATACACAATATAGACTTGCTACAAGCAAAGTAACATATCCTTTGTTATAATTTTGCTAAAATGGCTGACAGTCCAATTTGAAAATATTCAGATTTTCTGAGAGGTTTTTTTGTTTTTAGGTTTTTACTAGCTGTGAGCCTATTATTGACATTATAACAAATATAGCCTGAATACATCTCACTTTATGAGTCTATTAGTCTGTCCTAATAGTTTCAGATTTTACGTTGAATTACAGAAGAACATGGACTTATCAATGATATTCCAATTTCCCTGTACTTTCTCCTGTTTATGTGTATGTTCAGAAACTGTATGTGTATTTCAGTCTTCATTTTGATTTTGCATGGGAAGTGATCTGTGATGTTAGTATGTTAGACCGGACGCTCTCTACATAACAGAGCTCTGGTTCTCTGTTATGTTGTCATGCTCAATGTGTCCTGACGTTAATTTTGCTTTGGTCAAATCTCATTTCGCCGAGTGGATTATTTCTTATACTTCCTGTTTGTTGTACAGGGTCACAAATGAATCTGAGGGAATCAGGAGATTTGCGGTCACAAGGTCAGTGTTTGGCTTTTCTATTGCACATTAAAGAGCAGTGCTTCTCAGCTGGTGGGTCTGGACTCAAAAGTGTCTGGACAAAATCGACTTTTTAAAATTTGAACCATGTTACACCATTTCTCCCCGAAAGCATTATATTCACCCTTTTCATACTTTTCATGTTATTTCACATTATAAAACATGATATGACAAAGTAAATAGTCTCATTATCATCTTTGGGTGCAAAAAATAATACCTAATATGTCTTAAAATATCTATCTGCGACATTGCAAAAACTTTTAACAGAAACATTGGATTTGTTTTAATGGTCTTTGATTTCTGAAGGCAATATTTAGTATGTCCATTGTCCAAGGCATACTTCCATTAAGAATAAAAACAAATAAATGCACTGAAAAAAAAAATGGACAGTGTAATATTGCTTGAAAATAATTAAGGGAAAGACAATTTTACTTCAAGATTATTCTATTTCCTTGATTCCAGAGTTCATAATTGTTCCTAATTGTATCTATGGAGTATCATACAAAGCTCATAAATTATAAATCAATAATCTGTGAAAATATACCGTATTTTACATTATTTATAAACTAAATCCTGGGTTTAGTGGGTCAATGTTGGGTGCAGACACCTTCCAGTTGAGAGCCGCTGCTGTACAGATCAGTGTTTTTGGGGAATATAGGCCTGAACGCTGGATGCTCCTCCCCTCAGTTGCCATCTACCTGGGTATCAAAAAGCGGCCGAGCCCGGGGCCGTCGGACGTGGCTGGGATCTGAGGAGCGGCGCGCGGCGGGACCCTGCGGAGGTGGTATTGGCTCTGCGGGAGGCGGCTCTCGGCTGCGGCTGCCAGGTCCACCATGCCGGCCCCTTTCTGCTCTCCTGTACCCACGGCGTGGCGGGGGGCCGTGTGGCTTTCGAGGCTGAGGTGTGCCATCTCTCCACAAGCGGCGCCGAGACCTCCAACGGGGTGCGATACACGCGACTCTGGGGGGCACCGTTAGCGTTTCGGGACATTGCCACTCAAATCTCTAAGGACCTTGAACTCTGAGGGTGCATTAGTGTGTGAGTGTGTGTTTCTGTGCGAGCAGGTGCCTGGGTGTAACTGTGTGTGTGTGTTCAGGGCTGGGTGGTAGCAACTATTGAACACAAATATATCGCAGAAGGGGCAAGGGGCTGGACCCAGGACAAAAGACTCCTCTTTCTGTCTCTTTCACGCTTACCTCCCTTCTACACGCGCACACACATCCCTGACCCCGTGTATTCTCAAACTGAGGCGACCCGTCCATCAACAGCCCCTCCAGCGATGTACCACGGGATCTGCACCAGAGGGAATTTAGTTTCAATATTTTTATTGTTACTCTAGCCATATTGACTCTTTATTTTGTTATTTATTGACCTAACCATAGTTTTTCATGCGTGTCACTTTCACCAGAGGAGTCTCATCTCATAAACTGGACACCTCTGACCAGCCAGTCTTTTTCTTAAATCATTTTATGTCACGTTTACATTACTTGCACTTACCCGCTCCTGTTTTGACAAATCCTAATTAACCGTAATTACACGTTGTGAAAAGGTTTTAAATGCATTCAATGAGATCAGTGGGAGCAGGGTTGACAGACCAACTGGATAATTTAACTTCTATCTTTGCGAGTATGAAAAGGTTTGTATCTAGAGATATGACGCTAATGCAAACATCAGTCATTGGCAGTACCATTTAATAACTATTTGATGTACGCAATGGTATTTTTAATGGCTACAATTCCTCTTCGACCCTTGATCAGGTCTGTCAACTCTATCTTCACTTAAAATCAACTATGAACCGATCCCAGTTGTTAGGTTAGCTACTACTATTATATTAATGGACATACTTATGTGCAACGCAATTATTTATTTCTATTGGGTGCCATGTGATTTCCCCTCAGGCCTCTTCTCGGTTTAAGCACCAAACGTGCATAAGCCAAGTTACGACACCTCTCCGATGACACACTCCTGTTTCATCGCTCGCACACAGTCTCTCCTCTTCTTCTTGTGGCCCTGTCCCATATACTGCTGTCTATTATTGATGACTGTGGGTTGTAGGAGTGTGGGGAGTGTCCTGGCTAAGGCATAGTATGGACGTTGTTTATTCTCTTCTTGTTTGTCCAGTTGCCTTCAAAGTGAACTACCCCCAGCGCCTTAAAAAGAGGCCAAAAAAAGTGAGAAAGTCTACAACTGTCCCTCCCTATATTTTTAGTGAACAATGTACTGTGATATTTGCGTAGGCTGCAGAGGTCATGTTGTTTGGCTGCTGAGTTACTGTTAATACTATCTCTTAGTTGTGGCTTTGCTCATGGTGACCCCCTAAAAATGCCTCCTTGTCATGAACCCTCCATACATTTGCCAGGGACTCTTGGTGTCCATCACATCATAAGCCTATATCACCGACTTTTTCTATCGTCACAACTATGAGCATTTGGTTTTCTAAGGCTCTTTTGAGGCCACGCTTTTCTTTGGCAGGGAAATCATTCCTTCATCACTCACATAAGTATGTTGTAAACCATCTGTGGCATCTTTTTGCTGGCACAGTTGGTGTTTGTCGTTTTTTGAACCCATCAAGAAAATTGGGCTGAATAGTGACCACACGTGTGGCTGCTGGGAGTCTGCCCAAGTCCTATCCTTGGACTTTTTCATTGTGGTATATATTAACCTTTGCTAATATAGACCACAATGCACTTTGCTTTGACTTGAATCAGCTCCTTCCAGTGTACCTACATAGGTAATACCATGAACTAGCCACTGGAGGGCGCCAATGTCTTAAATGTGAAACACTACAATTTGTGGATATTTGCACAGGTACTTTATTTATTTTTTAGAATAATATCATTAAAACAGGATTTATATCAGTCAAATTATGGCTGTATATAAAATATATGAATATAGTATATATATTAGAGCTCAAGGTTTATTTATAGCTAGAGCAACAAGGGAAGTAATTCTAGTTCAAAGCAGTTTCTGTCAGTGACAATGGGCAACTAATCAACCTGCGATCCTGCATGACTTCAGAGTTTGAGGTTTTAAAAAAGATGCACATCTAGGATTGGAAGCTTTGTGAATTGCACAACAAGTTTAGAGACATGAGCTACTGTCAAACTGGTGCAGGTTTGGGCACAACACCTTATTCAATACCTACACCTACAAATGAGGGCTGGATAAAGTTGATCAATGTACTTCATCTTAATTGTAAGTTGAAAGAACGTTCATTTGATGGGTTTTCAAGTATTGAGAGACAGTATGTGATAGACAGACTTGAATTTAAACATCTCTCTAAATGTCTCAAGAGAACTTAAGATTCTGGGTTCCTGTTAAGCCATAAATATATTACCAGGCTGTCTCTTGTTCATCAACGAGTTAAAAGCATTGACGTCTGTTACAAGCTACACAAACTTGTATAACAATCTATTCTTAGTACAATATGGAAGAATATGTCAAATCAACTGTGAACTATTGTGGACATGAGTTGCAATGACTGGACATGATGTATATCTGCTTGGTGACAGAGTGTTGCTGGTCCGGCTGCTTAACGGTACAGTATTATGACCCAGTGGGTTCAGTATTTAACATGCATTCTCATTTTAAATCTGTTTTTGAAAGAGGTTTATGTTATATGCAAAAAGACTGAAGAACACTGGCAGTTTGACCTGTATGAGTAATTTTACACTGTTGTACTGTTCAAATCCTCCCTTCAAAAACGTTAAACCGATATCGAGTGGTTGTGGTAAATGCGGTGTGGAGCTGAAGATGAATAAAACTCACTGATGTTGGCAGCTTTTTGGTATTTTTGTGTCATGATTTGGTTTTCAATACTCAGTATTCACATAGGTGATGCGACAAGGATTTGTTGTGTTGTTACTTGGGGTACATTTTATTGAGCAATATAAACAGCTTCAATAATCAGTAGTAGTAGAAATCACTAGTGCCAGGCGAACCCAGCTCAGTGGAGGCTGATCCCAGGATGTTAACAACCAACAGAACAACGTGAAAAAGGACACAGGACGGTAAACATGGCTGGAAGGAAGTGGAGCAGGAGAGCAGAGTCAAGAGTCTCTGTGGAGCAGCTGTTTCCTCTGCACGCCTGTGATTGCACATGGATGCTCCGCACGATGCACACTTTACTTCTGGGCGGGGATCATGCTGTCGATGGCCTCTCCCTTCTCCAGCTTCTTCTCCATCTCCACCATGAGCTTCACACCATCAACCACCATCTGCACCTGGTCCACCTCAGAGGAGCCAAGACGGTCAGCGTTGGAGATGTCGAACACACCACCCACGGAGGCAGTGTCCACACCACCTGTAAGTACCACACACACATGAGCCACTCTATCACGGAGGACATTTAACACATCTGAGGAACCAGAGCAGACCTGTGCCACGCTTCTGCAGACGCAGTCTGTTGAGGATCTCATCGAACTTGGGGTGTGTGCTCAGCTTGGGCAGCTTGACGTGGACACCACCACGCAGGCCGGTTCCCAGGTTGGAGGGGCAGGTCAAGATGTAGCCAAGATGCTCGCTCCACATGAAGCCGTGGTTGTGCTTCTTGAAGATTTCCTCAATCTATGGCAAAAGCAGCATGTAATGTGTTAGTCAGAATAAACACAATTATATTTATTAGTGAAAATGACTAGTGTAACTGGTACCTTGGCCAGGCCAGTGCAGAAACGTCTGAAGACCTCCCTCATGTTGCCGCCCTTCTGCATGGAGATGACACGCAAGTGATCCTCCTCGTTCACCCAGACCAGGAAGGTCTTGTCGTCATTGTGCCTGAGAAAAAGATGGACGTGAATTTCTAACCTAAAGTAACATGGGGAAAAAAAATCGAAGAGTTTCTCACCAAATGCCTCTGCCGTCGGGCCAGTCACGGGCCATACCAGCGCAGGTCAGCAGGGGGGAGACGGGTTTGTCGAACAAGAAGTGGTCATTGATGAGCTGCTCCTGCTCAGCATCAGTCATGGACTTGAGGGGGTAGTACTTTCCCTTGAACTCACCGTCCAGGCTGGTCAGAGCTGCATGACACTCGTGTCAGTTACACACATCTTGTTTATGGGTCATTCTTCACTTTTCTGAACTTACCCTCAACAGAGAGCTTCTCAATCAGCCTGCGCTCACCACGGCTGTTGTGGGGGGGCAGGGTGAAGCCCTTGATGCTGCGGCCAGTACGCACACGGCTGGACAGAACATAGTTGGGGTCCAGGTCATCACCACCCTGAGAACCAAGTGATCCAATGAGATATGAATTACTGAGTATAATTGAGTGTGTTTTGTCTTTTCAGTTGTAGACAAATACTGCACCTTCAGGTTCTCGAAGTTCATGTCGGTCTTGTGTTTGTCGTCGGGCTTGTATCCACCATGACGGTCTGAGATGATGGGGTCCAGCAGATCCTTGAAGACTGTGTAGGACTCCTCATCACCAGCGACGCAGCCGACGGTCATGATGAAGGGGTGACCTGGGCACAGAACAAAGGGCTCCACACATCAGAAAGCTGCAGGCACGACTTTGATCTCATCATGTGCATCTGTGACCTTCTCACCTGGGTTATCAACTCCAGTCTGGATAACATCATCCAGAGTGTAGCCGCTGGGGGTCTGCTTGTCCCTAAGCTTGCCATACAGCTCCTTGGTCAGGACCTTGGCCATATGGTTGTTGTGCTTGGACAGGTCGGGGAACTCCTCCTCAACTTTGTAGTTGAGTTTGAAGTTGTTGTGGGTGTTTCCGAAAGGCATGATTGCTTTTCTTACACTAATGGAAACAAGAAATGTAGTAATTAATACAGCATTGTTGCGCTTTGTAATACATTGAAATAGTATTATTTGAGGTTTTATATTAGACATAAGAGACATTATGCATGACAGCTGCAGATTCTGTGCAGAAGAATTTTGGTAACAAGTGTCACTCTAGTCGTGAGGGATCAAATATCGAGCTGAAATAGATGCGGGAGGCGCTCATGTGGAAAGACTATCTTTAGCAGCAGTGCCTGACTTTGTACCCTTTCTGCAAAATGTCCCTAACATGTATGTGTAGCTTTTGAGTTCTGATTGCGCTGGTTCAGTTCAACCATTTACACTCTCTAACATGACCACATGGATATGTTTCTCTGGGACTTGTTTGTTTCACAAAATTATCAAAGCACACTCAGTTACATTCAGCAGCTCATTAGGCGACAATGGCACAAATGAATCACTGCCAGACTCTTATTAAATTATTGGATGAATCGCATTTAAATCCCTCATTGGATCCGTAATTGTGACATAATATTAAATAATAGCAGCAGCATAAAACACATATTATGCATCACCACCATATGCCACTAGCTTTAATCCACAAAATCCTATAATACCTACATATCTAGGCATGATTCAAATCAAAGAAATATATTCGATGTGACTTTACCTGCACACAAGACCAGAACAGAGGTAACAGTCCTTGGGATCAAATCCTGTTCACCACAGAAAATTAGGGGTCACCCAAATGTGCTACCCACTCTTTCTGCTTTATATACTTGGACATGTGCAGCCATTGGCCTGGCCATTTTAGTGCCTGCTGGTCCCTCATTGGTCAGGACCAATGTACTCGGAGTGGGCACAGTTTATGAAGGGGTCACACTTGCATTTCGGTCATCTAAGAAGGGAGTTACAGCTGACCTTTGCCCCTTCTCTCACCCACCATGGCTCATACATAGCCCAAGAGGCTTTATGTGACCATACACTAAACCATTATTTGATAAACTTGAGGGATTTCTTGTATTTGACTTAAAAAAGATAATATTAAATAGTTGCCTCCTTCCTTTGTTTGGTATTTATTGAGGATTTAACAACCAGATATAAAACCCGATTCAAAATAAATAGAATCAAATTATTTTCTGTTTATAAACTACAGTTTTTACATAATAATAATAATTAAGCGAGAAATCAGTGAAGAGCATTATAAGAAAAATGTGCACGGCCATTGTCAGGACGAATAATCTCAAATTTTAAATTGTAGAAAGAAAAAAAACGCTGTCCAGGCCTTACAGCCACCAAAAGGATTAAAGCCCCCTCACTCGCTGTCTTATGTGGTGGGAAACTACTACAGCCACATCTGCCCTGGGACAGACTGCCAGAATTAAGGCTGTGAATCTCTCACTAGATAAAAGACACATAAGTTTGTCTTTTTACAGCCGCCCCACTGTTGCACTGCTCTGCTGTGCTCCAACTGTGGTTCCTGGTGTTCCAGTGGTCTCCCATCCACACTCTGCCCCTGGTGTTCCAGTGGTCTCCCATCCACACTCTGCCTCTGACTGCTCACTATGGTCCTCAAACATGTTCCTCAGAATGTTGTGGCCAGATGTTGGGCTTCTCAGTAGTTTTATTTGGCTCACTCGACACCTCTGCTCCGGACCTTCTCAAATTGTTAAGCTCATTAACAGATATTATAAGTGACCAGTGGAATTCTGCAGATGGAAAATGATGCCGTCTGTAACTTTTGCTTCTCTGCTGCAAATCTTTCATGGGTTACATTTATCAAAGCTCTAGGCCCAGAACTACACAAAAACCACCTGAACCTTATTTTGTCTTATGTCATCTGCCCAATTACTTTTGTAGCACTAAAGAAACATCCTTTTATAAATTATATTAACAGAAGAACATATGAATCCTACATGTTTCCGTGTGTGTGATAATTACATCACTAACTGTAATGCTTTTGAGCGTGAACATTGGACACTTTCCAACCGTGAGGCGCCCCACGCAGCAGCTCACTTATGGGATGTCCCAGCTCTCACTGAGCATGTGCCTGGCTCACACCTGCTCTTTACAGTCGCTTATATGATTACCACTGTGTTCTGCCAGCACAAATATCAATGTCTGCCTCTAAATATCAAGCCTGCACTCTGTACGACATCCTCAGGCACTGCTTGTATCCTGACATTCACACTTTTTGTTCAGTACCTTGTGTCTCAAACTGTTTTAATGTCCCTGGCTCACACGGCCCTCTGCCGTCGGGCCATGGCTCCTGTTACACAGCTGTCTGCTGTCGCTCCTTAAAATGAGAGATTCCAAATTAGTGCTGGACGAGTTTACAATGAAGAATGACATTTGAATCATTGGGAATAAAGTCTGTAATTGTCAGGTTTTACTTTTGGATCTGAAGAAGAAGCAGAGACACCAGAGACGGCTGCAGCCGCTGACGTCTCACAGAATTATCTCAGTTGAGAACACTTATGCAACAGACGTGGTCTGAAGCTTCATGCTGTACTGCCAGACTTATTAGTCTCACATAAAGATCCACAAATAAAAGTTGAATATTCTGAAGACCTTATCTGCACTATGCGCACAGGCATAGACTAAAGAGATTGTTTTGGTTGTGTTGTGTTACACTGGCAATAGTATTTGAATATGTCTGCCCCACGAGGCCCCAGGAGGATTTTAGTTTGTGGTGTTGCAGAACACCTTCATGAAGCAGTAACAGGGTGACCCCTCAGAGGAATTTGTGCCAACTGCCCTGACCTATGTCAGAATAGCTCCTGTCGTGCTGCAGCTGGGAGCACCACATTTTACCTATACTGCCAGAAAATGAAGTCAGAGGAACTGTTCACTTTGCAGATTTTCTTATGAATGACATTTGTAGCACCGCCACATTATTAGTCTTTAAAGTCCCCTCCGATAGTGAGAGCACACATCCTGAAGCTGACTGAAGTGACAGTGTGTGATCTGCACAGACTTGGAGGAGGACACTCGTCCATTGAAACTAAAGCTAGAGTCACGTGGGCGTGGAGTGGTCCAGGCTATATTTACCCTCCATCTGCAGCCTGTCACACAGAGCGTCTGTCCAGACTTCAATTTCATCGAGTCAGTTTTTTTGTTGTCTCGTCCTATCAGAGCCGACACTTTATTACTTATGTCAATTCACCAGATTTAGACTTTTGCATTTTTCTGAACATGATAAAAAACTATTGTTGCATCTTTTTCAATATTCAGATTGAATTAACTCTGTTTAGGTCAAAAGTAATAGAGTACAAACTGGTAGCAGAGTAGTTATAGATGGTGTTCCTAAGTTTTCAAATAATATCCATTGTGTTTATCTGTCTTTCCATAGAGTCTTGTGGAGATAAAATGAAGAGGAAAAATCGGACCACAACGTACTATAAAAAAACATGTGCATACCTGTAAGAAGAAGGATGGCGAGCTGATTGGCTGAGAGAGGGCCGGTCTCTCGTTTTCACTTTTCTCTGAAAAAAAACCCCAAACACATGCAAAAACGAGTGATAGAAACAATTTATCACATAACTCTAAATCACCAACTCTAAGTACTTTTTTTATCTGTACTTTACTTGACTATTTTTAAACTTTCACTTGTTTCCTTTAAGCCCAATTATTTGTACTTTCTGCTCCAACATTTTGAAAATGGAGAGTTTAAAAATCTATCACAACATAAATGATTGTTTTTACTTAGGCTCATGTGTTAATGTGTTAATGTGTCAAAATGTGGTTCACTGTCCTCCATGTAAAGGTTTAGTGAAGGACATTCGGCTAAAACCATTACTCCAGTAAAAGGAAATGATCTGATTACAAAAAGCTTCCATTACTATTTCAGTGCCTTGATTATCTTAATAATTTTAATGACTTGAAACCATTTGAAACTGTAGCGCCTCAAACACACACAACTATTTGCACTGATGGTTTCACATGGTTCAGATTAAGAGATCCTTTATTTGTCCCACAGTGGGGAAATTTCAGGGTTGCATCACAAGTTATAGAACAGTAGGAAAGAGGAGCACACAGCACACGTTAACTGAACAATAGCTATACTAATTAAAATAAAACAAAATCTCTAACTCTAGCAGCAATAATAAGTATAAAAACTATCTTGAAAATAATAATAGATTTAATTTAACATTCTGTATAAAGTACTTTGTATTCTAGTGCAAGTAAAGTGTGGTTATATGTTAGCATCTGTAGATGTTAGCAGCAGTATGTTTACATCTGTACATTAGCAGCAGTATGTTTACATCTGTACATTAGCAGCAGTATGTTTACATCTGTACATTAGCAGCAGTATGTTTACATCTGTACATTAGCAGCAGTATGTTTACATCTGTACATTAGCAGCAGAATGTTTACATCTGTACATTGGCAGCTGTATATTGCACATTCTGGTGTAAGATAAGGATATTGCAACGATGCAAGAATGACACGTGGAAACAGGTTGGCAGTGTTCATTAGTCCTTATTGTTTGTTGTACAGTCTGACAGCAGCAGGAAGGAAAGACCTGCAGAACCTCTCCTTCACACAGCGAGGATGAATAAGTTTGTCACTGAAGCTGCTCTCTAGAGCAGACAGTGTCCTGTAGGGGGCGACAGTCATGGTCCAGCATAGATGTTAGTTTGTCCAGGACCCTCCTGTCCCCCACCTGCTGCACTGTGTCCAGGGAACAGCCCAGGACTGAGCTGGACTTCCGTGGAATTCTGTGCACTAAAGGCCACAAACTGATTTTGCAATTGCAATTTTATTTCTAAGTTCTTGTACAAACACTTTATATTATAGTGGGAGTATAGGACTTTTTCATTCTCATCACACAGACAAAAATTTGGCCTCATTGTCAATGCCAAATAATCCAGATCCAAATAATGACCACCGTAAACTAGATATCTCTGTGGTTGGGACTGTGGAGGATAATACTCTAATTCAGTCAAACAATAAATCTGCAAAGGAGCCTGAAGGGGATGAGGTACTACCATTGGTACACATGCCACATTTTGAGAAACACTGGATATTCATTGTCGACTAAAAAGTCACCCAGCCCCCACAATGCACAGGGCCAGTCTGCTGTGACAGGTGTGGGCTACTCTAGTCTTTGCAACAGGTGCGTATTTAAGACCACAGACTCCTGCATCAGAGCCCAGAAGACATTTGCTTGTTTTTAAAACAGAAACATAAAAACATTTTGGCACTTTGTACAAATGTGCATGAATTCATTTCATTCAAGTGCCATTTCCCCGGAGACGAGACTGCAGGCTCCAACATAAGAGAGAATGTGTCCATAGATTATCACAATGTGCAGTTCAATGCCTTTGAACTTGAGGCATGTGGGGCACAACATATTTTTTCTTACCTTTTCCAAATGTTTACACAAAATTCAGTTTTGGCCTCTCAAACTAAAAATTAAACCTATGTCTTTCTTCTTACCATGTTGACTGAAAGACCTAAATTTGATGGCATGGGTCATTCATTGCTGCTTGCGGATGTATTTATTTTGTTATCGTTGTTGTAACTGATGTAGTTGTTATTATTATCATTATTATTATTATTATTATTATGACGTGGCTGACCACATTGTTCATGAGTCACTGAGACACAGGGTAAATGCTGCCCCCTGTTGGTTAGAACTCTAAACCTATGGACATACTCAGATTGTTTAAGGAGCTGCATAAATGTAGTTACAATTATCGTTAATCTCAACGTTTTTCTCATAGATATATCCTCCATCAAAACATGGTATTGTGATAGAGGGGTGCAGCTGTAAGTAAGTAAGTACATTTTATTTATAGAGCACCTTTCACAGATAAAAATCACAAAGTGCTGTACAATGTAAAAGCATATATATATATACGATAGAAAAAAGAAAAATAGAAAATAACATAAAAACAGTTGAAACTCTCCATTGACGGAAAAGAATACAAAGTAGTAGATAGACAGAGTCTTGAAAAAAATCTTGTGTGACTAAATCAGACCAGCATTCCCACTTTGTAATTTAAATACATACTTAAATACTTGTATGTACTGATAGCTGATTGGCTGAGTGAGGACTGGTACAAAGTGAGTTTAAGTGAAAAAACTGTGATAGAACCAAACTTTGGGCTTTGGGAGCGAAGAGCTAGTTATATGGATTTTATTACGTTCTTTTTACACAATCTCAAACAGACACACGCACACACACGCGCGCGCGCGCACACACACACACACACACACACACACACGCGCGCACACACACAACACACAGACAGACAATTACAATACACTATATGTACAGGTCAAAGTACAAAGACAGACAACTGATAAATAGTAACATTTTTCTCTGGGTGTGTCTCTTGTCTGTTTGCAACCAGTCTCTTTGACAGAGACCATTCTGTCGAAATGTGTTGCATCAGTGCCGCCTCACAGTCAGAAGTGCGAGTGCATGTGGAAACTGTGGAAACTATCATGTGCCTTTAAAAACTCATAAAATTGTCAAATTATTGTCAAATTATTATTTTGTAAAACAGTAAAAAAGTGAACGTTTTACCACAGATTTGTATTTTTCATTTGTTTGTGTTTTGTGCTACAAGGACAAAGGCTTTGTGCTACAAGTGAAGCTGTTTATAGTATTCGAAATGTGCAAAAATCATCAAATGTGTAGCATTGTTATTTTTATGGTGATCTGATAAAAGTCAAAGTGTAATCTAGAGATAAGTGACCTCCTCATATATTGTTTGTGCTGCAGTTCTATTGTGTTTATGTTTCGCTGCAAACACAAGCTTAATTTAAATACATGAATTTGTTTGTGCCCTAAGTCACAACAGTATAACTCCGAGGAACTTTACGAAATTGTTACATTCTTGAATCCTTTCGGGAGCTACCTGAGAGAGGCTTGTGAGCTTCAGGTTGGAAGCCTTTGTTCTGATCCTGTCAGTACTGTGAAACTAAGCAGGGCTTGGCCTGCTGTGATGGGAGTCCTCTTGGCACACAAGGTGGCACAGAGGGGTGGCTGTAAAATATTAAACTGTTGTTGTGTTCTTAGGCAAGACACTTCAACCACACTGCCTGGAATTAGTCTGAAGAGTGTGAAAGCATAAGAGGGGTCGATGGCATATACTGATTCCCTTGCTTCTGTCAGTGTGCCCCAGGGCAGCTGTGGCTACAGCAGTAGTAATCGTCATTGACATATAAAGACCATGTCTGGAGTGAAAGAATAATGAAGTGTCTTTGAGTGTCCAGAAAAGTTCTACCGATGCCTTTTATTTTATTTTTTATTTTTTAAATCTGTACCTTATCCAGGAAAAAGTCCCTTAAAAAAGGTTCTAATCTCACTTTCCTGGTTAAATAGTACCGCTGCAGCTTTAAGAGGCCGGTCCAGGGCACACTATTGGGACATCCCGCATGAGCATGGCTGTGACGCTCTGCAGACAACACTCAAAATGTGCCTTTACTTCCTGATAGTGGCCATCGCCCATCTCTCTGTGAGCGGCAGTAGTCACAGCAGCAGTAACAGCAGGAGTATCAGCAGCAGCAGTATCATGTCTGAGTGGAAGCAGAGGTGCGCAGAGGAGTGGGGGCTGCAGAGCGCGTCTCTCCCCGACTCTGTGGACTGGAAATCTGTGCATGAAGCGCAGCCGTTCAACAGGAACTTACTGAAGAACCCGTCTCCATACGGTACTTTTAGAACCACTGACACATCATGTGCACAACTCCCGGCCTCTTCCTTATTCTGTACAGGCTTAAGTCTGTATTGTGTGGAACATGTGACTCCACGCGTTATTGAATGTACGATAACATACACAAGTTTAGTATTTTTTTCTGTTATAATCGAGTGCTGTTGGAAATCTTTGTGTCGTTGGGTTAGTCAGCGGTTGCGTATAGAATACATCTTATCAGCTTAGGTAAACTTGCCAAGATCATCAATTACCATGAGTCACCTGTCTGACACCTGAACTCTCTGCTCTGAAACCATAGGCTGGCTATAAAGACATAGGTCTATGTCGAAAACACATCGAAAACAACTTAAAATGTTTTACTTCAGGTAAATTTAGTCCTTCATCTATTCAGGATGATGGACTTTGAATAGAAACGTTCGTTTTCACAATCATTATGTCATGCTATTCTTCTGGAGACATAAATGATGGCTGTTTGTTTTGTGCACAGGATTAACAAAGGATAGTCCACCACCAGAACCAGACCTGCCTGAAGAACCTGACCATGGGCCACCACGCTTTATCCCTGAAGGTGAGAATATTTCTATGAATGCACAGAATCTTAATTTTCTATGATTTTCTATGAACATTCTCTTATAAGGATGAACAGTGGGCTTAGTCATTCTATGTTATTGCTGCTAATGATGAATGCACTGTTGGACAGGTGACTTTAGCGGCTGGACCACCACCTCAGAGACCCTTCCTTATGATACAAGTGGCATCCCAGCAGGAGCTGTGATCTGTCAACTTCCTCAGGCAAGGTGAGGATGTTTTCCTCCTTCAGGTTGGTCTATCAGTTGTAAAAATGTTGTAAATGTTTTTTTTGTAAATCTGTTTTGAGTATTTCTAATTCTGAATCCTCATTTTAGACTTGAGTCTATCCATAAGCTGTACATACATAGTTTTACCAATAGATGTCACTAACAGGCCTAATCTATTCACAGAGGGCATCTCAATAGAAGCGTTACTGTCATGTGCCACCAAAAGTTAATATTGTTTTTGGTCTTTAGATTCCCCCAGCTCTAGAACTATACATTCCTCTCCACTTCAACAGTCCAAAGTGGTCAACCAGCAGGAGCCACTGTGTATCATTCCTGTAGTTAAATGTCTGCTAATTTAATTATTATCCTTCTCTTCTTCTCAGCTGGTTCACAATGGAGCAGCTGGTGGACCTGAAGGCTGAAGGACTGTGGGACCAACTCCTCGACGACTTTCAACCCGAGATCAGGATTCAAGACTGGTGTGTGGCATCAACACAATGTCCAACTATTTCTTCTTATTGATGTTGTATGAAAGTACAGTTCACACACGTGGACTAAAGTGTATGTGTGTGTTTGTATCTCTGTGTATGCATGTGTGTTTGTATCTCTGTGTTTGTATCTCTGTGTATGCATGTGTGTTTGTATCTCTGTGTATGCATGTGTGTTTGTATCTCTGTGTATGTATGTGTGTTTGTATCTCTGTGTATGTATGTGTGTTTGTATCTCTGTGTATGTATGTGTGTTTGTATCTCTGTGTATGTGTTTGTATCTCTGTGTGTGTGTTTGTATCTCTGTGTGTGTATGTGTGTGTGTTTGTATCTCTGTGTATGTATGTGTGTGTGTTTGTATCTCTGTGTGTGTGTGTGTTTGTATCTCTGTGTATGTATGTGTGTTTGTATCTCTGTGTATGTGTATGTGTGTTTGTATCTCTGTGTATGTGTGTGTGTGTTTGTATCTCTGTGTATGTGTTTGTATCTCTGTGTGTGTGTTTGTATCTCTGTGTGTGTATGTGTGTGTGTTTGTATCTCTGTGTATGTATGTGTGTGTGTTTGTATCTCTGTGTGTGTGTGTGTGTTTGTATCTCTGTGTATGTGTGTGTGTGTGTGTTTGTATCTCTGTGTGTGTGTGTGTGTGTTTGTATCTCTGTGTATGTGTGTGTGTGTGTATCTCTGTGTGTGTGTGTATCTCTGTGTATGTGTGTGTGTTTGTATCTCTGTGTATGTGTGTGTGTTTGTATCTCTGTGTATGTGTGTGTGTTTCTCTGTGTATGTGTTTGTATCTCTGTGTATGTGTGTGTGTATCTCTGTGTATGTGTGTGTGTATCTCTGTGTATGTGTGTGTGTGTGTGTGTGTATCTCTGTGTATGTGTGTGTGTTTGTATCTGTGTGTGTGTTTCAGGTACGAGGAGAGCCAGCTTCATGACTACATTTATCAGCTTCATGTGAAGTTACTGGGGGCAGACAAAACCACCGTGATCGCAGAGCACACCGTGACCCCCACTGAGAACCGCGAGGTCTACTCACACAACTGGAAAGAGGTGAGAAAGTATTCTTCTAGATCAGTGTCTCCCAAAGTGGGGTCCGCGGCCCCCTGGTGGGCCGCGAGGGTACTGCAGGGGGGCCGCGGGAGGTCATAAAAAAAAAAAATATCATCATTTAATGTTAAATTTATAATGTTTTGTTTGTAATATTAAAATATTTGTGTTCATTATTTGACTTGAATAATCCACTGGGGGCCACGCAGACCCGTCAGATTTTTAAGGGGCCTCGGTGTTACTGAGTTTGGGAATGGCTGTTCTAGATTGTTATTTATTTTTTTACTTTTCATTTACATTTATGAGGAAAAAATGTAAACTATAGTAAGCTTGTGCACATTGATCATCCCTAATTCTGCTAATACATATATAATAATATTTATTGTTGTCTTGCAGGTGTCCCATGTGTTCACCGGCTATGGCCCCGGTGTGAGGTACGTCCACTTCCAGCATCGGCTGAAGAACCAGTTTCTCAATGGATTCTGGAACACGATGTTCACCGGGAGCTCTGTGACCATCAGTCCAAAGAAATGACCTCCTTCTACCACACATTATTTTGGAACGCCATATTTTCTGGTGCCAAAATGTATTTCAATGCAATTTTTTACTAGGTTTAAAGTTGGCTTAAAATTAATGTTTTTCATGTTTAGCTTGGGCAGTTTGTTGCTATTTTACTTAATTTTTTACACATTTTTGGCCAAATCATCTAATGTCAATCACTTTTTAGTTGCACTTTAATCTCACACGTGGGTGTTATTTTGAGAGTATTATTGCCCATTTTTTTTATAATTTAATAAGTCCAAATGTAAATGATCTGCTAATGTATGAAAGGGAATATAAAGCTTTTTTTTCTGGCAATTGTGTGTGTATGAATATGAAGAAGCTACTGTATATTTGAACACAATGAAATATGGCATTTGTTCCATTATTACACCGCTAACAGTATTAAGTACTTAATGCATTTGTATATATACTTGTACGTATACATCTGCAATACGTAATAAATCTCTAGCTCTGTGAGTTCTAATATTCAGTGATGATGAATCTACTGTACATGTTCGCAGCATGAAGTAAAGTGACAGTGGACACATGTAAGTCAGTAAGTAAAGTGTATTTATATAGCGCATTTTACAGACCAAGGTCACCCAAAGCGCTTTACAAATGTTCAGATAGTTATTCCATTCTCTCTACACACGGTGACGACGGAAACGAGACGCCGAACACACAGGCGCATTAAATCCTCCGACCAAACACCATCCATTCACTCGCTCATTACATTTATACCTATTCTGCATGTTTTTTAGTAGTAGGGGAAACTGGAGTACCCGGAGGAAACCTACGCAGACACGGGGAGAACATGCAAACTCCATTCAGAAAGGCCCTGTTCCGACTGACATGTGGTCTAATATTGCACATTCTGACATTTATTGCACAGATTAATGCATGATGGGTATTACACACGCACTACTGTTCCTTTAAGAGTGGACATGCCGTGTTTGAGGTTTGATTAAGGCGTGGCGTGTGGCGCAGTTACTTTGCAATAAAATAAATCACAACGTGTTTGGACTAGACTGCTTTGACTCGGGCAGTGGTTAACATGTCCTCTGAGTGGAAGCAGAGGTGCGCAGAGGAGTGGGGACTGCAGAGCGCTCCTTTCCCAGACTCTGTGGACTGGAAGTTTGTTTATGAAGCGCAGCCCTTCAACAGGAACTTACTGAAGAACCCGTCTCCCTACGGTAGATTTATGTTGGCTTTAGTTTTGCCTTCATATTTGCCTGGACGCATGCTCTCAAGAAAAATTAAAAAACTATACTTCCGTGTTTATGTTATTTTTTTTCTTAATGTATATGGTTGCAAAACTCTGCTGTGGTCCTATTGAGTGATTGCTCCCAGCTGTTGGAAAATTGAACTTGGACCAATTATTGTGAAAGTATCCCCAATATTAACCCTTTAATGTTCACCCCTTGAAGAAAGCAATGTTTTTTATTTCATATTTGGATTTTCAAAAATGTAGGAGCACAAATAACAATAATAATTTGTATTAACCCCTAGTTTTGTTAGAAGGTAAAAGTGCCTAAAACAGTGAGATGCCCCAAAGAGGTAGATTTCTGTTCCAATAAGCAAGTATCAAGTAGATATGGTGACTCAAAAGTCGATCTACCAAATGTTTTAGGAAACCATAAATGGCCTACATGCACTGCCCTTAAAGGTATAGAGGAGAATTTTCCCACATTTTAGGAAAAAACAGCCCTCTCCGCTTTTTGAACAAAAATGATATATACATTTTTGAACAAGTGTATAATAATAGCTAATCAAGTGTGTTTTTGTTATCTCTTCTTTCCCACAGCGGTCAGTCATGACAGTGCGTCCGGCGAAGGGGAGTCCTCCTCAGGGCCTCCTCGACGGCCTCTCTGTATTCCTGGCTTTATTGAAGGTGGGGGAGTGAGTAAGGAAACGGAGAAGTCAAGAAAATCCGTCAGAATATGTAAAATATATGTGTGTATTTTGTTTTTCAGGAGACTTCAGTGACTGGACCACAAGCACCGAGAATATTGCATCCGACACGAGCAAGATCCCCAAAGGAGCAATTGTGTGCGCAACGTCTAAATATAGGTCGGTTTTTCATTATGATACAAGGTTTTATTGGTTAATACTCTCTAGTGCATCTATTTTTTTCTTTCATGTTCTTGGATGTTTGAGTTCAGACCAAAGAACATGTCCCTGTCCCCCATATTCCACCTATACCCTCAATTCTCCTTATGACATTTAACATAATTCTAACCCAGGCCTACATAAATGTCATATAACCATTTTTAATCGTTGAAAATACATTATATCTGTAATCAAATGCAACACTGAGGAGTTGGGGCTCTTCAGTTCTACATGTTTTGAACTATAGACTGTATATAGATGGACTTGCTCAATGAACACCAATATGAAAGTGCTCATGGACAAAGTTTTGATCCAACTCGCTCTGTCTCCTTTTGTATCGAAAAGTGAACTCCCCTAGTTTGCATAATATACTCACCATTTTGGGCTTAAAACAAATCTTTAGGGCTCTCTATGATCCTGGAGTTCATATTTTGACATTACAGCATATTTGTGAATCCAGATATGAGCCATAACGATTGACCTGAGCATGCCTTCATTAATGGAGGAAATTCCAACTTGCCTTAGCAACCATGTTAGTAACACGTCTGCCTGTCACGGCGTGAAGCTAACCCCATCAAAACAAACATATTTTCGGCGTGGCATTTATCACACTGTTTGCATGTTCTTTTGCTGTTGTTCCCTGTGTCATATTGAGTCTATTCTTCTCTTGTCAGCTGGCACACTCTGGAGCAGCTTGTGGACCTGAAGGCTGAAGGACTGTGGGAGGCTCTACTGGATGAGTTTCGACCAGAGATTTTGATCCAGGACTGGTGGGTTGATATGCAGGCACTCATTTCAATAAGAACATTTACCCAGGACAATACCATTTTCATTTGACCCAGTTTTCCCTATAGATTGGTATCTTTCTGCATTTATTGTTAGTGGCCCCTGGCATGATTTTCAATTCTTGTCATAAGAGGTTCATATGGACTGGCTAATATGGCATGTCGTACATCATGTCAAAGCTAATTGTCTCAAAACAACCACAATATTAATCTTATTCTAAACGTTGACCTGAAATAATTTGTTTGATCCAACATTTACGCAAGATCAGTATGAAATCGTCAGCATTTACCTTATGTCCAGTTTTGGTTCAGTCCAAAGGCAAGGCAAGTTTATTTGTATAGCACAATTCATACTCAAGGCTACCTAAAGTGCTGAGGCAAACACAACTAACTTATTCAGAAATATCTACCTGAGAATATTACGCTAAAATAATGACATATTTGGACAAGATTACCCCCCATAACTGAAATATAATTATATAAAAATAAGCAGTTATGTTAAAAAAAAATCAGTAATGTAAAAAATTTAACCGTCAGATAATTTCTCTGTGATTGAAAGTATATTTAATTTTGTAGGTACGAGGAGAACGGTCAATGCGTCAATCTACCAGCTCCAGGTCCGGCTGCTGGGAGAGGACAAAACGAGTGTGATCGCTGAGCACACACTGAAGCCCACAGAGGAGCGCACCTCTTACTCTTGCAATCCCAAATGGAAGGAAGTGAGTTAACAGCTGCACATGACACAATCTTAACTTTTCAGCTCATGCACACGTGTTGGTAATACCTGTCATGGCCTCTAGGTGTCGCACGTGTTCTCCGGATTCGGCCCAGGAGCGAGACATGTCCATTTTCTGCACAGACTGAAGAACATGTATCTCAATGGTTTTTACACCACAGCTTCCAGCGGCAGCTCGGTTATTGTGAGGCCAAAGACATCCTCATGAAAGACTGCGCCGTCGAAGCCACCCACAGAAAGAGTGTCCGACAGGTCTGACCACACTGTTCACTCTTAACATTACATTTACAATGTTTCTAAAGATATTACAAATGTTACTCCAGTTTGACAATTCTTTTTAGATATTTACTAGTTGTGATTGATGACATGTTGCTGTGATGTGTATGTTTCTAAGCAACCCTAAAAGAAAATGGGAAAACAATATATAATAGAAAGTATTCAATTAGTAGAATACAGGTTTATTTAGTGAATCCTAAAGGTGTCATAATAAGAGTAAGTCACCACACCTGCATCTGAAAGCCTAATCCTGTCAGATATCAGAAACCAAGTATGACAGGGCCTGGTTAGTATTGTGATGGGAGACCAGACCCCACATTGATGGGTGAAAGGAGTCTGGTGCACGCGTGAATGATTGGTGGAGGTTGGAGGGCACTTCACAAGTTTTGCTAGAAATGTAACTTGCGTTTCAAATAAAATGTATTATTAGTAGAAGTAGTAGTTTACCAACAGAGTGTGGTACATATGGTGTAAACGAATGCGAAGAAAAGCCTCTTTTCATCAAACTTCAGGAGAGTTCTGGCTTATATTGTGTGATGTCATCAATTCTACAACTCTGCTCTATTTCTTGTGCATTTCAACATATTTTCTTTACTAACTAACTCATTTTTTAAAACTACCATGTGTTAAACAAGCAACACCCACACATCCATATATATTTTTTTTTCATTGCATCCAGCACCATTTCAATATTCTTGATTATTATCCCAGTTATTCAATTTTGCACAGTTTTAATAAAGTTGGTTTAATAAAGAGGTTGTGTTTGTCCAGTTTCCTCTTCCTGATGTTTCAGTGACCCTGTTGTCACTGTGAGATGGTCATACAAGTTTTGGAACTTTTATAATTTAATGTGTAAACTTTTCCCAGCTAGTTTCTTAGTTAAATGGTAATTGGTCAGTTGGTCATTGCTCATTCCTTCCATGTGCTGCCTTCACACACATTCCTCTACAGACTAATGTTGTTTAGAAGTTTGTTGTTTTTTTTTTTGCACTTTTAAAATCTACACTTCTGTTTTTCTTTTAATTTTGTATGCAAATATGTTTTAAATCTACCCCAAAAAATCACCACATTGGCATGTACAGAATCTCCGTAGTGCCTTATAGTTTCTTTACAAACAAACAAAATAAAAGTATAACAAATTCACAAGTCAAGCTTTGGGATTTATTAGTGCAGTAATGTTGGGAGTTTTGATGTAAAGATTAGGCTGTGATTGGAAAGCAAATGCATATGAAAATGTGCTATAATGATCAGATTTAAAGCTCATAGAATAGAATGGACTTCTAATGTCGCTATAATAACATTAAAATGCATATATAATAGATTACACTCAAAATGTGGCTTATTTCTCCATTGTTCCTGATGTTTTCTGATGTTTGTAGTAGTTACCATAGCAACCACAAAGTAAACACAGTCCAAAACTCCTTACACAATGGTCATGGAATGATTATTGAAATACCTTCATCTTGGTGAATGGATGTGTATCTAACTTTCAAACCTCAATCTGTGTTATAGATTACATCCAGCTAGTTCCTGGGTCCATATTTTATCACTAGTTTTCAAATGCCTTTTCCTTTTTGCTTTTGTCAGACAGAGAAGTGACAAAGAGAGGACCACCCTCAGCTTTCAGCCCAAAGCGTCCAACAGTGACTTGCAGGGCTCTTTCCTAAATATGCAGACAATTACCAATAAAAGTAACATTTAATAAGATGAAGACAGAATGTTGAGGTCACTAATGTTTCTTTTAGAAGATTTTCTTTTGGGAAAACAACATTTTATGAAACAAGAAAGTTCATCCAGCTTTAACTCTCAGATAACTGCTTTTCTTGTGCTTTTGGCCGAATAACAGTTGAATTTGGTGATTTTGATTTTTGATGAGTTGTGAGCACTTTCGACTTTTGGAATCATGTCAAATACTTCAATATTTAACAAGGAACTAAACAAGGAGTTCTGTTTCAGAAGTTGATATTTCATCACAATAATATGCATGATCACTAATTTTACTTCCTGTTTCATCATGCTTTTCCTGCTTTTTGCAATTGTTTGTAATTTCATGCCAAAAAGCACTGTTATTATTATTATTATATATTTTGTTATGTTTATATTTTGTTATAAAATATATCTAATATGTTATTAATCTTTATTTCAAACTCTAATTCAATTCAAAATCATTGGCCCATCATTTAAAAGAATAGGAATTTTATAATAGAAATTTCCATACAATATTTTACAAATATTTTAAAACATACAAATACATTTTGTATGTTTTAAACTCATTCATTTGGTCCATATTTAAAAAAAATAGGGATGCTTAAAAAATAAAATAAAATGAAATGTATACAGACAGTCCAAGTGATGGTCGTGTGTTTCTGCCTCGTGCGTTCTCACAGTGGTGTAGCGACATGAGCTCATTTTACAGTTAGTCACGGTCTGAATAATGGTGTTTTCAGACACCTCCACACACTCCTTGACCACCTTCCACTCAATCAGTTTAGTTTAGTTTAGTTTATTTATTTAAGATGACAAGGACAGTGCACAATAAACATTAACTTCAAAAGGAGAGATGCATTGTACCAGGTTATAGCTCAAGAGCTAATTTCCACCTGTAGTCCCTGGGCAGGCTGATGTTATATCACATTAAGAAATAACACACGTTCATGGACGTAGTTTACATTTGGCCAAAATACAAGTCTTTACATGCACAATTTGTTTAAAACTCACATTCATATCACTCATTTATACTGGTCAAACACACACACTCCCCCCCCCCCTCTCTCTCTCACACACACTCACACAAGCTACACATGAGTGCAAGTTTGGTTTAATAATAACCATTTCTTTAGAAGGCGTGAGAACATGTAAGCATCTGTGCTTGCTATCAGCTCTGTGGGCAGCATGTTCCACTGACGAATGGTCACACAGGAAAAAGCAGAGTTTCCAAAAGCTGTCCTGCGTTTGAGGATCCTACACTCGCCGCGCTCGGTAGATCTTGTGGCTTGTGTTGTTATGTCTGAGCCTAAAGAGATGAACTCTTTCAGTGGAGGAGCAGCGGTGTCATGCAGGATCTTAAACAGGAAGCAAAGATTTGTGTGTTTAATTAAGTTGCAAAAGCTTAAGATTTTATGTTTTGTAAGGATATGACAGTGATGGAAACGTCTGCTTTTTTATTGTGGATTTTTAATGAGTTTTTATAAAGTGACTCAAGTGGCCTTAGGACATATTTAGCAGCTTGAGACCAACTTGACATACAATAAAGAAAATGGGGAACAATCATTGCATTAAGATAGGCTCCTGACGCCTCTGTTGTCAGTGAATTTCTAATGTGTCTAAACTGTACCATGTTATATTTGCCTGTATTTGATCATTTCTTTAAGTGTTTTTTAAACCCTAAATTTGAGTCCAATATGACTCCTAAATACTTTACCTGTTCAGCAATTGCAATTTTTTGTCCATCAATTAAAATGCTTGGACAATTGGGAATTTTACGAATTTTGAAGTACAATGATACAGTCTTGTCTAGATTTAGGGTGACACATGATTTTTTAAGCCACTGTGTAACTTTTTTCATTTCATTGGTCAGTTTTTCTGCAACCTCCTCTGCAGTTTTGCCATGAGCATACACCACAGTGTCATCAGCATACATAATAATCTTATTCTTACACACAGTCGGCAGATCATTTATGTAAAGAGTGAACAGCAGGGGGCCCAGAATGGAGCCTTGTGGAACTCCCATGCTGCAAGGTCTTAAAGGTGAATTTATATTGTTAACAGCAACACATTGGTGCCTGTCTTTGAGGTAAGATTGAATCCAAGTTTTATTATTTATGTCAAGAGAAAAATTAGACAGTTTGCTGATGAGAAGCTCATGGTTCATAGTGTCAAAAGCCTTTCTCAGGTCTAGAAAGATTGCCCCAACTATTCCTCCTCCATCAAGACTGGATTTAATGTCTTCCAGCAGCACGCAGACTCTGTGGAGTATCGTTTCCTAAAACCAAACTGGCAAGGATGTAATGCATCAGTTTGGTCCAAATGCTCCACTAGCTGCTCTGCTACCACCTTCTCAAAGACCTTGGAGAAGGCTGGAAGGATACTAATAGGCCGATAATTTGAAACACAAAGCTTGTCTCCTGACTCGAATATCGGCTTGACAACTGCTTTTTTGAATGCCATTGGAAAATAATTTTCACTTATGGCTTGATTCACAGCTTTTGTTAGTGCTGGAGTTAGAGTCTGTTTGTGTTCTTTTAAAATAGATGTGTCAAGCCCATATATATCCTTTGCTTTACTATTTTTCAAATTTGATATTATTTTGAGAATGTTGCCTTCATCTACACTCTGTAACCTACAATAAGATAAATTGTCATCTTCAACATAGTCAGGGACACAATAGTTTCTTTCAGAAAAGGTCTCAGCCAACTCTGTCACAGAATCCAAGAAATAATCATTATGATTTTTGGCTAGAGTAGAACTCTCTTTTTGGATGAATCCATTGATTTTGAGCTGCAGATGCTCCTGGGGGTGCTTTTCCCTGCCCAGTAATTTATCCATGCTCCTCCATAAGAGTTTACAGTTACCCTTTGCCTCCTTAATTAAATTTAGAAAGAAGTTTGCTTTTGCTTTTCGTAGCTGCATGGTAACTTTGTTTCTTAAAGATTTATAAATGTAATGATTAGTGTTTAATTTACTTTTTAAAGCAGACTTAAGAGCTTTATCTTTCTGTTTCATTGTTTCCCAGAGGGATTCATCAAACCATGGAAGCCTCTTTTTATTAGATTTTCTCTGTTTGAGCTTTGTATATTTATCAACTTTATCCTTCATAGCATTAATGATGTTGTTGCATGTATGATCACAGCTTTCAATATTAATTTTGGAGGCCCATTTCATTTAAATCATTCTTAAGAAGCTCTTGATTTATTTTAGAAATATAAGGAAAGTAGCATTGTTTGTTTGATTGTTCAATATTTTTGTATCTTGACTTGTTTACTTTCCTAACTAGCAAAACAAGATTATGATCAGACAGGCCAGTTAATAAGTTGTATGTCTTTGTTACTCTGTCTGATTTATTAGTAAAAATTAAAGCTATCAAAGTTTGAGAGGTTCTTGTTACTCTAGTTGGCTTTTTTATTAGTTGTGTCATTTGATATGAATTTGCAAGGTCTTTTAAATGTTTCCTTTTGCTTTTATCAAGCCAATTTATGTTAAAATCCCCCATGAGCAAAATTTCCTTTCGTTCATACATTTTTACAATATCAATCAATCAATCAATCAAATTTTATTTATAAAGCGCTTTTCATACAAAAAGTGTAACACAAAGTGCTTTACAGTTTAGTTAAAAACAATCCAACATGCCCAGCCCTAAACCCTCCTCCCCACAGACCCCCCAAAACCACATTTATAATTATATATACAACCACATGCGTATACACACACACACATATACACACACACACACACACACACACACACATATACACCCACACACACACACATACACACACACACAAGTATAAAGTCATATCAGATAAAATAGGTAAAACAATAAAAAGACATGGGGCTGGGAGCAGATGTAACCGGCTGAAGAAGCGTCATCCAAGGAGCCATCTGCACCAGGAGCAGAGAGCCGGCTGCAGCCACAGGCAACGACACAGGACCCAGAGGAGAGAGGGGCCCCAGACCCCACCAGGCCCAGGACTCAGACCCCATAGGACCCAGAGGAGAGAGGGGGCCCCAGACCCCCACCGGATCCAAGAGCCAGACCCCCGAAGCCGCAGCAGACCCCAGCTCTCAGTGCAGAGGGCTCCTCCAGAGGAAACACTGGGGACACTAAAACAATACAATAATACAATAGAAAGTAGAACAATAAAATGCGACAATAAAAAGATGGCAGCTGCCTAATATTAATAATAACAATAGTAAATGGGTAGATACAATAAATAATTAAAAATAGTAAATAATAAAAATAAATAAAAATAGAATGTGTCTAAAAACATAAATAGATGTACTAAAAAGCAATAATAAATAATAAATACTAATCAAAAGCTACTCTAAAAAGGTGCGTCTTGAGCCTACTCTTAAAAATATGAACGTTCTCTGCGGCCCTGAGCTCCTCCGGCAGACTGTTCCAGAGACGGGGGCCGTAGTGCTGGAAAGATGCCTCGCCGTGAGTGTGTGTCCTGACTTTGGGGATGGTTATAGTCTGCTGCCGGAGGAGCGCAGGGGCCGGGAAGGTTCATAGGATAAAAGCAAATCTGAAAGATAAGAAGGCCCAAGACCATTAAGACATTTAAAAACCATTAAAAGAACCTTAAAATCGATCCTGAAACACACGGGGAGCCAATGCAGCGATTTTAAAACCGGTGTAATGTGGTCCCCCCCTGGTCTTAGTCAGGACACGTGCGGCCGAGTTTTGGAGTAATTGTAAACCTGAAAGGTTCTTTTTGGGAAGACCAGAGAGCAGGGCATTACAGTAGTCAATGCGACTGGTGATAAAAGCATGCATCAGCGTCTCCGTGTTTAGCCATATGTGTTAAGCCACTATAGAATTCACTGCTTGCATTTGGTGGTCTATATACACATAGAACAATAAATTACATTTGGGGCGATAGTTTGATTGTAACACCGACGCATTCCACAGTTTGATCTGGTATGTCTATTTGGTGACTGTCAATGCTGTCTTTCACGTAGATCAGGACCCCGCCCCCTTTTCCCTTCCCTTTGTCCCGTCATTATATCCCGGAATCATAAATGCAATCACTTGTACTTTTGTCTTCAATAATATGTAGAAGGGACATAAAAAGGATCATCCAAATCACATGTATATCTTTGCAGTGTTGTGCGTGAACGAGTTCAAAAGAACGCGTTCATTGAACACGCTCATTTTTTCGTGAACGTTGAACTGAACGCAACACATTTTAAAAAAAAGAACTTGAACGTGAATTAGTTCATTTTATGTGTCATGAACGGCAGACATCACTATGAACGTTGGAATCTATTTTCTCTTTTGAAACGCAACGAGAGAAAGTTCCTCCCTCCTGTATTCTCGCACTTTTTCCGCTGAAATCTAAAAATTCCTACGGTTTCCACCGTCTGTGAACGCACCCCGACTCTGTGTTGCAGTGCGGCGCTGTGAGCTGGTGCTTTTACATGTGCCCGAGTCGAGATGAAAACACAGGGTGAGTTAGCGACAAAGTTTACACCGTTTAAATTTGACATGAAGTTTAGACACACGCACTGCAGCGCATTACTGTCTGTAGTTTATGAGCAGAGATGGAGCAATTCCGTTTTGCTCCCATTGAAAACCATGTAAATCTAGTCTGTTTTGTAGTCAAAAGACTCTCCTCCTGTGGGTGTACAGGAGATATATATATAATATATATATATATATATATATATATATATATATATATATATATATATATATATATATATATATATATATATATATATATATATATATATAGCTCGTAGTGTGAAAAAAATATGTATTGAAGTATCTCACGAAAAAAGTAAAATGAACTGAACTTTGAACTAGTTCAGAATTAAAAATGTGAACTTTGAACGTGAACTGTTCACTTTGAGCATGTATGAACTGAACTTGAACTAGTTCAGAAAAGCTGTGAACTGGCACAACACTGTATCTTTGTTTCCACACACTCTCACATTAGTTGTTACTCATTACCATATTCAAATACAACACGTGAGGGCGGGGCCTGTGAGGGGAGCGCGCAGCATCAGCCCCGGGAGCGTCTATGGCACAGTCTATGGCACAGGCGCGCACAGAGCCTCCAGTGTCACCGGCTTGAGAACACGGTCGCTCAGGCACCAGAGGCGATGCCAATCCGTACCGGAGCTGTGCCCTCGAACTAAGGTCAGTTTCTCCACAGGTGGGTCACACTCATTCCAAACGTGACTGAAGTTTTACTACTGCAGCGACGTGCACGCAAAGTGTCGGCTCTGAGCGTTGGTGGACTGCTATACTTTACTAAAAGGCTTTTGTCGTCATCCTTCCTAAAACTAAACAATGTAGAGAGGAAGGTTTTTTGTAAAGTGGGGAGGGGGAAAAGGCTCGGTAAATGTTGCGCAATGGTTAAAAAGAAACATGTGTAAAGTTTCGGGCTATACCTTTGACCACTTGCGGATTTTCAGATTAAAATTTTTATAATGGAATCTTATGTGTGACCTGGATGAAAGTGCCCAGAGAAAGCCTAATCTTCTCAGAGCCTAATCTTCACTCTCAGCTGTGATGCCCATATTGATAAAGTTGCATGAAAATATTTTGGATAACAAGAAATGAACTGTAGTTTGTCATAGTTTTTATACCTACCTTAAAATCTGTGAATCTTTGCCATAGATGTTGTGGGAACTTGGGTTGAGCAGATGGATGTGTCAATAGAAGTGGGAGCCAGTCTCCTCACCGAAACAAAAAGAGCAGAGAGTGAGACTGTTTACTGCTGTTCACGTGGCTCTCTTCATAGATACTGTTCGGTTTGTCAGTGTAACATCCGATTTAATCGATAGTAAAGCGATTATTTATTTATTCTTGTATTTATTTATTTGATAGGGACAAGTGTACACAGTCAACATGTGAAATACCACAACGCCATATTATAGCCAGTCTCTAGAAGGACTTTTAACACAACTAAAAACACATCACTGGTTTGTTTGAAAAAATCGTTTTAGTTCGTGTCCAAGTTCAGTTTAATCTGAGGATTTAAGAGTTTCTTAGTTTTACCCCCTGGACGGAGAAGACCAGGGAGCAAACTATATACTAATTTGAGCGTTTATCAATAATACATACAATTTTAAAACATATCAGAAGAAAACATTGTGGCCCCATAACAAAAGCATTATTATTTTGAGTTGAAAATTAGGTTATTGTCTATAGAGCGTTTGTAAATAATAGCAGTGGCATCAAAATTGGTATTTTATTGAGTATTTTTTTTTATTGAGTTTGAAATGGTGACAACACTCCTGAGTCCTCCTGGCTCTCCTCTGGGCATTGGTGGTGGTCTCTTTAGTTCCCTCACTCTACCCTGACACAGGATCTGCCGTCATCAGTCCTCTCCTCAGCTGCTTTGAGACTTTGTAACAGGTCTTGTCCTCCTATCTGGTTGTGAGACACCATTTTGAGCCAATCTTTCAGCACCTTAAGTGGAATTTCCATCTGGACGTATCAAATATCGCACACATCTATCCATGTTCAATATTTGTCAGTTTGACTTAACCACGTAATATATATTTATAAACACATACTTGCTGGACGATTAAGCACACCTGTATATGAACCGCACCAGCTAAATATGAAAAGAAAGTACATTTGAACAAACAGTTAACAAAAGTAACACTGAACCAACAGATAAGGCGCAAAACAAAAAATGGGTGACCATTTTAACTTCTATTTTGACAAGAACATTCCTAATTAAACTTAATGGAGTCAAAATATTAACCCCACCAACTGCGCTCTGAGTTTAGCCCTATTCACATAAAATCAAGTCCCCTGCACCTTGTATCTTCCTGGACTTCCCCATAACAGCTCACTCTGCTGTTCACATAAACACAATGGGAAGCAGGAATATGCGCTATGTCAGATGCTGATAGAACGGTGTCATACCCTTCTGCACTCTGGGGGGAGCTCTACCAAATAACAATATGTATGTCTCTATATAGGCTGTGGAGTTATAGAAAACACTTTAAAAACATACTTAGTTATAGTCTAGCAATAACTGTAAATTATTATAAACAGCAACTAATTATAAGCGTATAAGTGTATCTATCTATTACCTGACATGGACATGAATTGATATGGGCTGAAACATGTCATTGGGCTTCTTTAATTTTCTATTCTAATACAAAAATACGCAACAACGACAAGGGATGAGTGGAGAGAGCATTCAGTAGAGTTGTGATTTACCAATGGACTCCTCTTGATAAGCGTCCAAAACAAACACAAAACAATGGGGCACTTTTGAATCCCTTTAATGCTTGGCGGCTGAAGCGGTTTCCTTGGAGACCATTAGAATATTGGCAGAAATTGCTAATAATTCCATTATGTAAGGAAAGGAAAGATTTTCTGGGGTTATAAAAAATGGATAAACATGAATATCAGTGTATTAGTGTATCAGTCATTGACACACAATTAGTGCTTCAATCATTTTCACATAATTAACCACCACGATGCTTTTAAGTTTTCAGGCTTTTAAGGAAACTGCTGCTTGTGATTGACAATACGTACAATATTCAGAAAGAACAAAACTAACAGACAAGACAAAGTACCTCCCTCATCTCCCACGGCTCACGCTTGACAAATGAGTTTGTTCAGACCATATCCGTGGAAAAAAAATCATAAATGACTGCTACTGTTTTGTTTGGTTAAAAAAGTTTACTGATTGTGTGTTTTAGAATTAAATACATAAGATATGGGCATTTAAGAATAAGCCTGCAAATTGAGTCCAACTTTGATTCATGTTTTTATATCAGTTGAATGAATGTAACAGAGGGTTCTTTTTTGTGAGATTCAAAGTTAAAGCTGGGGTACCTGGCTTTCAACTGTCACCAAAAGTGTATCTTTATATTTAACTATTTGCTGACTCTAAAACAGTTTGTTTCCATCACTATAGTTTTCTTTCATAAAAGTGAAAATGAAAGGACCACCCTCACTCAGCCAATCAGCTTTCAGCCCAAAGAGTCCCATAAGGTCTCCAAGGGGGTTTTTCTTAAAAGGATGCAACAGATAATGTTTTCCCGTAAAGATAAAGACAGTACGGTGTCTTCTGATTTGTTTACAAAATTTTACATTTACCTTTAATGGGGCTACGTGTGCTTCGAGCGCTACACGGAGGAGGATTCTTCTCCAGAATGATGTTGGTGCATTCTTTCACGTCTTTGCTGTGGCCTGAGGGGGATGTTGTTGAGGAAGTGAATATACTGCTGGGGTTGCGTGTGTCGTGTTGTACAGTTCCACTGCCCACTACTGGCCGGGTGCTTGAACTGCATTGTTTTCCGCCGTCGTATAAACGCTGCACAGGGGGCCTGGTAGTTTTTGCTAATTGCTTTTTCAGCGTCTCCGCAGTGTCTCCATCTAAACGGGGTCTAAAAGTGGTTTTCTGTGTAAAAAAATTATTTGTTTTTACATATTTTTGTATTTTGACATTTTATTTGACATGAGTTTGCATATTATTATTTAGAACTGAATGACTAATTAGTTTGCTTTTTATTTAACATTTTAGAAAAGTTTAAATGATATTACCGTTTGTCTTGAAAAAATGAACTTTAAAGTACAACAAACCATTGTATCCCATTACCCTCAATTTGGCAAGTTACTGTAATAATGACCATTGAAAATTCCTGCAGGGGCCACCAAACATTAGCCTCTCACCAGACCCTTGTAGTTCGCTGAGCTTCACACAAGGGTCTGGGATTTCTCAATGTATTTCAGAAAGCGGGGCCTTGTAAAAAATAAATACAAATCTTTGTATGTGATTGGATAAACCACTTGTCCGTTATTTTGAATGACGTGCTACTTCAACCACTTACATCGAAGCACATGACTCCTCACTATGTTGCAGGCTTGCTAGATGCTAGCAAGATTTTCCAGCCCAAAACCTGTGAGAATGCCTCCAAAAAAGATTTTTTGGCCAAAAAAAATTATTACTTACTGTCAGGATTTAGCAGACAGAGACGAACACTACTAAAACCTTAAACCAAACTTTACATCAACATTTTACTCTTAAAACCCACAAACAGTATAACAACATGGAACCATCAATATCTCACCTCATATTACATTGAAAGTTACATTTGTGTCTTAATTTGTTCGTATTTAAACTTTTTTTTTTATTATTCACAGACTTTATGTCTGCCGTTTTGGTTTGTGTTGGCTGTCGTGAGACACGCACGAGAAGGCGGGGCCAACCAATGTTACACTGGCGATCCTGATTCATTGGTTAATTTTTTTTTGTGATCTTGAGGGAGTTTGCATAGGCGTCGATACCAGACCCTTATGTTCAGGGAAACGCCTCTGGTGAAGCGTGGTCTGATGAGAGTCAGGCTAACTAAACATGGTCTTGCAGGCCGAATTTAGCCCATGGGCCTGAGTTTGACATGCCTGGTGTAAGTAATAAATTCAATATGGAAGTCAGGAGAATAAGCAGCCAATGATATGACCCTAATGTATGTAGTTCTTGGAAGAAGCGTCTGCATTGCTAAGGAGGTAGAAAGGTTGTCCGGTGTCCAGAAGGTCAGGACACCGTGTGAGGAGAGGAGGATGGAGCTTTTAGCAATTTTTTGTGATGAAGATGCTGGAAAGAGTTTATTCTGGGAAAGTTCTCTCATCTCTTTCTCTCGCTGACATTTCCTGATGAGGCCTGAACTTCAGAGCTGACATTTAACGGGCGTGAAAGTAGGCTTCCATTTAATCTATCATTTATTCAGTAGATTGGCCTCAGTGCATCAAACGTCTTGTTGGAGCGCCTTTAGTTTGTGACCACAACACTATTGACTGGCCATAAAGGAGCTGAGGGCGGCTGTGGGAGCTGTGTTGGAGATGAGGCTGCAGATTGGGTCACCATTTGACCTGTTCTAAATCACACTTTGAACTTTGAATATTGAATGTAAATGTTTTAGATGATACATCCTTTTTTTCTTGTATTTAGGTTCGGATTTATTGATAGTTCTGCCCAATGTGGTTCTGTTTTTTTGAGCACATGTTAAACTTTATTGAACTAAAGTCATATTTACTTTCATATTTTGCATATATCAATAATCCATCCAATTCTGGTAAACCAATGCTTCCACATTGTATGCAGAGACATGTGCACCGTGGCAGGCGCCACTGGACAATGGGCCATACTACACCTCACCTTTCTCTCA